TCGTTGCCAAAAAGAATTTGTTGCCAGAGGAATATTTTCGTCAAACTAGGATTTAAATGAGGTCCTTATAATTTCTTTATGACTCGTCAGCTATAGGATAAGCATTGATGAGGTCCAATAATTCCTTCATAGCTCGTCACTGACAGGATCATTATCAACGATATCCAATGATTCCTTCATAGCTCGTCACCGGTCACTGACAGGGTCACCGATCACTATTAATAAGGTCTGATGATTTCTTCGTGACTAACGAGGTACAGTAATCTCTTACTGATACGTCAAGCCAAGTTAAGTAAATAACTATAAATATCCAAGCATTAGCTAACAAAATAGCATCTGGTTCTAATTCCTTTACCAAGTTATCAGTAATGGATCTAAATGAATCTTTTCTGTAAACTGATCTTCTTAAAGCTGAAGGACTGATTCCCTCTCCAGTCCCCAAGATGGGAATATTTGTTAAATTATTGTAGGATTCATGAAGAGGGGAAATTCTCCACGGTATGCTTGCGTTCTTCTGTAGGATGATGCCATAGCTGCCATATTCCCAATACTCGAACAGCTCGTTCTCGACAGTGACAACAGCAGTATACAAATTCACAAACTGCTCATTCATAAACATAAGGCTCCGGAATGCGACTTCATTTTAAGAGAGCTTGGAAGAGGGCAAATTCCCCCAGTAATGTTTGTTTTCACTAGCATTGTAATGCAAGAAATTTTGCAACACAATGCAACCAACGAAGTTGTTCTTACCTCTGACAGTTCCAGGGTGTGGAGACGTGGAATCCAAGGAAGATTTTCTGTATTTTTTCATATTGCGTGTAATATAAATATTGTGTGTTAAGTATTATGATTCATTTAATTAATTTTAATTTCAAAAGCTTACGATGTTAATTGACATCAAGATATCAACTTTTACAGGCAAAATTCATATGATTGTCGTTTTAAGGATGAAAGAATGTGTTTAGAGCTCTGAATCTGTGCTACTCTAATATAAATGGTAGGAAAAGGTTAACTTTAGTTGAAGTCTCATGTCTCTACGACCTTTACTGAGCAATGGTTGAGACGCGACCGCGCCTTAAAATGGAGGCGCAGAGACATGTTGATGCTAAGGTCGTAGAGACATCAGACCTTGACTAAAGTTAACCTTTTTATCACATTTATATTACACTCCATTGCTTTCGGGACCCTGTCTAGACGTTTTAAGGTCAAAAACGGCAATTTTAAGAATTTTACCTGTATAAGCACCTCACAAAATTAGGGCGTGGCATGTGCAGTCCCATCCCAGACGAGTTGGACCAAAAAAATTTTTTTGGGGGTGTTTTAGCCATGGGATCAACGTTTGAGCTTATACTCAGCAAAATTTGAGAAATTTTATTTTTTTTGAACCAACCTAAAATACATATTTGGGATGAATATCTGTTGGGAGGACTGGTATGATTGATGTGGAATCACTTAAATCACGAACAAGGCCGCTACGTAATTTAACACACAGGAAATTGGTTGTGGTAAATGGTAATGACTGGACGCTGTCAAACGCCAATTTCCGTGTCGTAGTGGGATCCAGATGATATCAGAAATACCTTAAATAACATCTAAGTAACCAACTTGAATAAAATAAAAAACACCATTAATATCAGAAGTACCAAACTATCAGGAACACCAAAAATATCGAGAAACGCTGATCATTCTATCATATTATGTAAGATGACAGCTATATGGCATGACACAGGAACTATTAACTGAGCAGTAGTACTACCACCACTAACTATAAGCTATATTGACAGTGCAATAGTAACTACAACTACTATTCCAGTAGAGTAACCAGTACGACAGTAACTACTAAATAGTGTCGAGTACAGCATACCGCGAACTGACAGCCTGCCCTTTGAGAAGAGCAATAACGTCTCTGATAACCGCACTGTCACATATTATTGTGAGGAGATATGACAGGGTAAGATAGCAGGAACTCAACCCACGTGACAGGAACTCAAACCACGTGACAGGAACTCAAACCACGTGACGGGAACTGAGACCACGTGGTTAAATACCTTTATTATGTGTCGGAGGAGATAGTAGCCAAAACTTTTAATGTCTTTGAATATAAAATACTGATAACTGCTGGTTGTTATTCCCCGAAATGTCAACTATCCTAAATGTCACCCAAGAAGATAAAAATAGTACTGCAATCAGGAGTACCGCACTTCAACTGCCCCATTCCTCTATAGTTACTGAGTGACACTTCAACTGCCCCATTCCTCTATAGTTACTGAGTGACACTTCAAATTCACCATTCCGTTATAGTGACATCTCTTTGGTGAGGCATTCTCACGAGAAGTATCTGCTATCTCCCCCCCCCCCTCTCATTCTCAACCAGACAAAATGCCAGACAGGAGGAACCACCACTGACAGTGACACTTTGGTGAGCCGATATATAACTGTCACTCACCCTGTCTCGGTCATTGATCTAGCAATTCACATATTTTAGGAAGATATAATAATACATTATTAGAGAGATATTCAGGAGATATTAAGGAGATATTAAGGAGACAGGAGATATTAAGGAGATATTAAGGAGATATTAAGGAGATATTCAGGAGATATTAATGAGATATTAAGGAGATATCAGAAGATATTAAGGAGATATTAAGGAGATGTTAAGGAGATATTAAGGAGATATCAGAAGGTGAGATAGCAGGAGAACACGGACTACTTGATTAAATACCTTGATCAGGTGAGGATTAGATAAAACTTTCATTATGTGAAATTTATATAGAGCCCAACATGGGACATTTTACGGCGTTTTAAAAGTTGACATTTGTAGTATTGGATCTGAAGCCTGTTAGTAACCAAAACGTCACTCGTGAGAAATTATACTGAAATTTGTATTATTCAACATATAACACATGATGTGTTATCGTATGTTGAATTATGTAACACATTTCTTTAGAGCGACACTTTGGCGCATTCTGCTCCCGTATATGCTCTTATCATCCCAAAGTGCCACTTTTGCGTCAATTCACAGCTGATAATCCTCAAATCCTCATTGCATTCAGGACTGTGACAGGTGAGTGACTCAGATTACCATGTCACGTGGGGTCACTCACATGGTCACGTGGGATCACTCAGATGCAATGGTCACGTGGGATCACTCAAATGGTGTCCCGTCTGGGATATCCGTGACGTCACGATTGTGTTTGGTTTGAGGTGTCACACTAATGACACTTCAGGGTTATAGGAGAAGTGTGTCACTTATCTTAGAGGAATGGGTCATGTGATAGACGAACTTAATTTGGGAACTTCATTGAGGATCATGAAGCAGAAATAATTGAATAAAATACATAATGCGATAACTTATCGCATTTTGTTATACATAAAGACATGTCTTTAAATTCATTCAGCTCACCAAATATTCTCCATACCTAAATTTCTACCATAACGATCCTTTTTTTAAACTGAGAGCAAGTTAATTCCAGCCACCCATACTAACTTGATTTCTTTTTATAAATAATAAAAAATAAGAAGCTAGAACCCACCCCTCACCGTACAAACTGTACCTGCACAGTATGTCACTGTCTAAAATATCTGTCTCCTTCAAATATCTGATTTAAAATCATATCGCTACTAATTTCACAGATTATTAAAATTACCATCATTAGTACCAGGCGACGATTGTAATTTCTGTCACATTCTGTCAGGATTTCAGTAAAATTTCTCCTAGCAAACCGGTATTGGCTGACTTGACAGCCAGTAGTTTCACATCACCAGTTGCAAGGCGGGTAATTTCGCGGCAAGCTAATCATAAAATCCCAGTGGAAGAAAAAGTAGACATAATTAAAGTTGACATCATATCTAAACGAGAATTTCAAGTGAGTAACCGGTTACTATTGAAGCTGCCCAAGTGAGATACAAGAACGCATGTAGGCTGAAGCAAACTAAATTCTCAGCTTCGCTAGCACAGCAGTATATAATATATAATATTCGCTAGACCGTGTCAAGTCTTACAAGACTTATCCAACGCGAAACAAGTCATCACCACTCTTCAACTGTTCAGGATTACGTTATAAATTCCCTCCTAGTAGAGATTCATCGGTAAAGCCATATTAGATTTTCAGGAAAGCACGAAAAGTGGCGTCATACCTAATTACATTAACCCTGCAACAGTCACCTCAATCTGGGACAACATGACGACTGAAGATACTACCACTACCGTTAGCTTTACTATATAAGTACAGAAGATACTACCACTACCGTTAGCTTTACTATACAAGTACAGAATACTATAAAACCACGTAACGTCTCGTGAGACTATGTGATGACAGTAATTACAAGTAAATGTGAAAACTGACTACCACTACCACTACCACTCCAACCTGGCAACTATAAGATTCGTTTATGTTGCCTCTACTATCGCTACGTTAACTTATAAGTTATAACACTAGTACACGTTAAGTGTTAACTATAATACTAGTACACATCTGCAACAAGTCTGTTCAGGGTAAGGGGAGCCATTTAACTGAATTTTGACATTTTAATGTTGGGGACTGGCCCGTGGTACCAGCCAATGTTTACTCAAAAAATATATATAACATCAATGGTAATATGGTAATAAGAAATTCATCCCCGTGGGGCACATGCATAAATATAAAAGTTTAAAGGAAATCTCAAACTATTCAGTTTAGACTCTACCGGTAAAGTATGCAAGGAAGGTTTATAACTTAAAGTAAAAAAATGACAACCGGCGCTTGTCAGCCCTAGTTTTAGGCTCAGATCTAATTATAGGGTAACTATTAAGTAGTGCAGGGTAGCTGGGATACAAAGTTGAGACACTCGCTAGTTGAGGATGACAGTATTTTAGGTGGATGTTAATTTATGATTGCTGAGTTTTGCAATTTAAATGCCTGGTCGCTGTCAAGCTACATAAAATATTTCAAATTACCAAATCGTAAAAGAACCCAATCGAGTTAATATTATCAAATGAGTTAATAATCTTAATAACTAACCATGGCATGAGCAATGTCATCGTCAGTTGGTTTCTTCTGACCGTGTTTCGCTCCGCGGGTGATCATCTTAGCAAGTCGCTCATGGCAGTACTCCGCATACAATTGCACTGGAACCTGGACATTCCAGCGTTATAAGTACAGATCACGGAGTACAGAGAACAGAATGCAGTGCACACTGCACAGTACAGAGTACAAAATCGGTTTAAATTTTTAAATTTTGTATTGAACAATGAACATCTTGTAATTCTGTTTTTAAGTGAATAAATTCCAACCTCGCACTGGTTTAAGTCATTCTCTTTATTTTTGTACAAATAACCCTCCAGATAACCCTGGAATCGTATCGTTGGCGGGAAGTAGTAAAGATAAGCTGAGATCAACTTCCAACCCCATTCCAAAGATTTTCTGAAGGAGATGATTTGTGTTATAATTAGTAACGTTTTCTCTTCTTGTCAAGACCTTAAAAACCTTGAACGGAGGAGTAGTTTAAAAAAGTTCCAACTCAATAAACTCACGATTTATTATTGCAAGTGGTCTGTTTGATAACTTGCATGAAGAACTCATCCCTGAAGCACACTTTCTGCCAGCCATTAAATGTTAGCTCGGCAGCTCGTTTTAATCTCTCTTTGTCTTTTAATCCCTTGCCAACCTTAGTGTCCCCCATATACTCTTGTAGATCTATTGCGGTTAGTTAAGGAAAAAGAAGACCATTTCAAGAGGACATAGAAAGCCGACCCGTAAGTTTTTAACAGCTCTGAACAGTTAACAATGGTAAAATTTAGAGTACCCAATTCAATTGGCATCAACACTTTGATGATACAAAGAGGCCGCTCACAAAATACACTGCCCAAATCTTTGTCTATTTTCTATCTTACACTTATTGACAGTACAAACAGACGCGATTTTCACAGGCGGAAACCCTAAAACTGGACATACAGTAGGACATGTCATAGTGTTGCGGCAACTTTCACAAAACCTGTTAACCGTTGTTTTAGAGTATATTAGCGAGGCCAGAGAGGTGTTTATTAGATCACACATTACTACAATAATTGCATGTATGGATGAAATACTCTGTGTGTAGTGTTAACACGTTCTATACATATTTAGAGACCTTATATAGTTACAGCTCAAGGGATACTTTTACATTCACCTTGGATTCAACTGTCCAATCGCAAGGAAAGCTAAGTGTAGACTAACGAAAAAATGTGCTCAATTACAGCAGTTTTTCGAACGCCGAGACGGTTTAGTCATGTATTAAAGATTATAGTTAAGCGTGTCCAGATTTAATCGGGTCATGTGCGGAGTTTCACTATCTATATCGTGCGTAAGAGGAGGCTGTGTAAGCACATTGTACACATAGCTAGGTGTCAGCCGTGTTAAACAGAGCCCACCTTCAGATGACATGACGCTCAGAGCATCAGCAAGGAAGTTAAATTTACTGTTTCAGTTGAAGTCAAACCTGGGTCATGTGATCAAATCGAGTGAAAATTCCCACGCGCGCGCATTATAAATGCTGAGTAGTTGAATGCTTTTATTGCAGCGGCGTTCGAATAACTAGCAATAGCAAATAAGCGCAGATGTGTTGTGAGTGCCCGGGTATCATTTTACTGCCGTCAAATGTGTTTCATTGCAAATTTAGGCGTGATAAATATCTAAGCCATGAATTGAGCGCACGAGCGTCACGTACATTGTACGCTCTTATTGCACTCAAAATCAGATGGATTTCAATCAAAAGGATACTTTTAAACCAGATAACCGCATCTTTTCTAACTTCCTTGTCTTGAGTTAAAATTATAGGTTTCTTTATCTGATCCTGATTTTGGAAAATTAATGGTAATATACTTATATTAAGTCAAAATAACCATCGAACAAATATCTCTCTTTGAATTAGAGAAGCTAATTGGTCATGATAATACACAGCCAACTTACTGTGTTGAATGTTGACACCGTAAACTTATTTATTATTACTACACAATAATAAAATGACATTCAGTTAAGTACAAATCATACATACCTTTGAGTGTGCCAACATAGTAGCTATGGAGACTTTCTTGATAAAGCCACGAGGACGGTTGATGTGTTTCTTTACGAACTCCTTCTCTTTCGGTAGTTTTGGTATGGGAGATGTGGGGGAGCGTATTACAGGAGGCTTTTTACCACCTGAAATAGGAGATAGGTTAATATTTCAGTTAGAAACACAGAGTTGCGTGAATTGGTTAGGAAATAATCTTAGAAGTACAATAGCTAGTTCAGAGGGACACAGTCACGTGTTGTTGCAACTTAATCTCATCCAACCAAACCGACAATTTATCCGGAAGAATTGAGTAGATTGTCACCATGACACTATAAGCTATCGTGTCAAATATTGTCTACTTCTGAAATTGCTCTCAATTTGTAATTTTAAAACCAAGTCGGCCAGATGCTACAGTATAGATAACAAGTGGAAACAGAACGTGAATTCCTTTCTGTCTCATCAGGAATGTCAAGCATTATTTTTCAGTACTGTGTCACTGGTGAAGCGTAGACACTGAGTTGGTAAAAAACCATTCAACAACCAATTAACCAATTTACTACCAATAAACCTGTTTTGAGTACACTGCTATATCACTGCATACACTACTATGATATTATAGTAAAGTAAATTACTCCACGAATAACTAGGCAGGTACAGTACAGGGAGATTTACAGGGAGTTTAAGTTGGAGTGTCAAAGTGGACAGTAATGAACGTGTCAAATACCACCTAATTTACTGGCCACATTATACATGATATTATTCAGTCAATATGGGTATAATATAATATATATAGCATAGTATAAGGTTGTACGAGACAGCGGCGAGACAGTTCCCTCTTTCCGTCACGTGTCAGATTGGCAGTATGGTTACTTATACTATGGTAACTGGTAAGCTGATTGGTTAATCATTGTCACGTGTTAAGAAAACCCTGTTTTTACCCGAAATACTACGCGTGACCGTCGACCGATGATCCAAAAATCAAGTTCATCATAGATTGATGATAAAAAACGGCTCATAAAGCTGCATGCAACACTAGTTAACATGGTGCAGAGATTACAACAACATTCTTTGACTATTTTTAAACCTCCTTCCCATTCCTCACAGCTTTATATTACATGTAGATAAACCCCTCCCTGCCTGAGGTAATACTATGTGCACGTGCTTTGTGATCTGTGTTCTGTATTCTGTGATCTGTGTTCTGTATTGTATCATTATTCTATTATAATGATAATATACTGAACTGAATACCCGTAAATATTAGACAGTAATTGTTGACCACCAGTATATTAGATACCACCACTAGACACGTATATACTTAGTGTACAACACAACAACTAGCTCTCCTTTATAATATGAAGGTCGTTTAAATTACAATTACCTTGTATGGCCGCTAACGTGCGAGCAAAGCAAGTTAAATTTATAAAAACACCAGTCGTACGTATCTACAGGAGTATATCTTTAATACCGTCACAGTGTTTTAGATATGTTGTAATATTATCTGGTGGTTGTACAAGAGGGAGATCAAGAGGGAGCGTTGTGTTGGAGTGTGCAGGGAAATTATAAATAGGGATGATGTTCTTTCAGAAGGTTAGATGCGCAAGATGAGTATAAAACTTCCTGTGTAACCAACTACATTACATATAACTACACGGAACTTACACCCTGTATATTATTTACACCATATCTATAAATACTTCTTAATTAATCAACACCACACCTCTCAACACCCTGGAAATAACAAACCTAGTCGAGCAGCAAGGGGGTGATCGAAGTGAGAAGACATGTTACTAAAAACAACACCACAACAGTTCATGACACAACTACACTGTACTGTGTAGTGGTTTAGTGGACCAGTGTATAAAAAGTCTTGTGGTGGTGTGTAATAGTGAGACATCTGGTGGGACATGTGAATTAGATTGTAGTAGTTGGTATCTCAAATATTTGGAATATAAATGTATAATTTTGGTATCTCAAATATTTGGAATTGTGTGCAGGTTTGTGTATTTAAATTCATATTTAAATTCATAACTCATATTTCAGGGGCCGGGTTATTGTAACAGTAAGCTCGATTATTTTAATAATCAGAGTAATCATAATTCAATTAATAATTAGTCTGCTGTGTCTACAACAGTGTACAACAGCTGTATCCGTTTTCATCAAGCAACATATCCTCCCAACCGAGCCAGAGGTAACACAGGACACTGCGTTACAATAATATGTACTGTGTATCTATAATTATCATGATAATATAAAAATCTGTATTCTATCTTAGCACTGTGTGGTTTTCTACAGAAAAACCAAGTATTGACGCAATATGTAATTGAAACTCAGAGCAGTATTCAGGTGCTAATATTGCATAATTCAACATAACAATTCTATTGCACAATACGTTGTTAGTGATCCAGAGAGGCCCACATATCGTCACGTACTAAATAAAATAAGGTGGTGAGTCTGGTGGTGAGGGGTTGTTTGCACTCTGATAAAGGGATGCAGCAGTGCTGCAATATTAGCTACATTATTCTAATTATTAATACATATTATACATAACATCATTATAGTTCTTTTATTCAAATTTCTGATTGTTTCTGAATAGACTCAGTGAAGACAAATTCTAATGGAAATAAATAGCTGAATAACGTATCGACATTTCTACGTCATACTCATATTCTGAAATAGTATTAATTCAATTATAACGATCAATATTCACATTAAAAATTTGACGACGAAATTTATTTCAAACAAAATATATAACTGTAAAATAGTTATCAACCGTAAATAGTTTTTAACGAAATCGGAGCAAATATGAACATAAAACTGACAAACTTGGGCTCATCTGAAGGTTTACAGCAGACGTCGAAGCTTTATACACCAATATCAACGTACTAACAGCAATAGAAGATGTCATGGAATTTGCCAAAGAAAATAGACAGTCAATCAGTACATACGGTCTCCATCTCTCTGATTTACAAGAACTACTAGAGACAACCCTAGGAAAGTCATATTTTGTCTACAACAATCAAGTCTACCTACAGCTTCTTGGATTGTTCATGGGAACCAACCCTGCACCTATACTAGCTACTGTCAAAATGTGGAAACTGGAAAAACTTTCAGTCTACGTAGACCTGAGGATAACACTGCCCACCTACAGCAGGTTTTACGACGATCTAAACGGAGCCACCACCAACAGACGAAAAGCTCAGCAACTGTGCAACCTCATCGAACAACAAGATCCTGACAAACTTATCAAACTAACTGTAGACTACCCTGACAATCAGAACGACTTTGTTCCCTTCCTCAACACGGAAATAAAGATCGACTCAGATGGAATAGTACATTCTAGACTCTACAGAAAACCACAGAAAAAGCCACTCACCCTCCACTACAACTCTCATCATACAACACGTACAAAGAATGCTACTGTTGAGAGTATGTACAACACCGCAGAGGCAGTCTCTAACAACAGAGAAAACGAGAAGTACTCAGAAAAGATGATAGATAAACTTCTCATCAACAACGGCTACACTGATAGAGTCTTACAAACCATAAAGAACAAGAGAAAACGTAGAAAGAGAATTAATCAGAACGTACAGAACAAAGACCAAGACGGAGCGATTCTCAAACTACCCTATGTCAACGAAGCTACTAGTCGCAAATACAGAGATGCTGTCAGACATAGTGGACTCCCCATCAAAATTGTCGAGAAACCTGGACGGAAACTGAAGGATCTCCTTACAGACTCCAGACCCCTTGACAAGAAATCCTGTACAACATCAAACTGCAGAACATGCGCAGCTTTAACCGATGGAGAATGCACCACAACTAATACCGTCTACCACATCACTTGCGAAGTAGACAATTGTACCGAGAACTATGGTGGGGAAACATACAGACCGATCAAGTGCAGGTTCGACGAGCATTACCGTAGTGCGGCAAATCCAACAGCAAAATCTTACGAAGATAAGCCACTAGCAAAGCACTACAGGGAAAGTCACCCTCAGCACAAAGGCCCCCCAAAGCTTAAACTTCAAATCGTAGATAGAGGAACATCACTCATCAACAGAAAGATTAAAGAAGCCCGATTTTTAGTTGAAAATAAACCAACACTCAACGATAAAACAGAGTTGAACAATCTAACACAGTTTTTAGTTGAGTGACGTGTAAATAGTAATATTCTCGTTTAATTCTTTTATCTCTTTTAATCTTTTATCTCCTGTATAACGTCACGCTATTCGTTAATTTTCAGATGAGCCCAATTTTGTCAGTTTTATGTTCATATTTGCTCCGATTTCGTTAAAAACTATTTACGGTTGATAACTATTTTACAGTTATATATTTTGTTTGAAATAAATTTCGTCGTCAAATTTTTAATGTGAATATTGATCGTTATAATTGAATTAATACTATTTCAGAATATGAGTATGACGTAGAAATGTCGATACGTTATTCAGCTATTTATTTCCATTAGAATTTGTCTTCACTGAGTCTATTCAGAAACAATCAGAAATTTGAATAAAAGAACTATCAAATCATGAGACTCAGAAACACTACACGAATCCACCAGATAACATCATTATAGATCACATAACTCTATTGCCAGACAGTTCTCTTGCGGAGTAGAGCTTCACACTTTACTAGTGATCTAGGAGTGAGTTCCAGTACATTCTCATGGTACATTACAGTACAATCTCATGTACATTCTTACATTACACTGTGAAATGTTCAGATATTTCCACAACCTGAGCTACCGGTTTACTACAGACCTGTGTTTACTGCAAGTTCCGAGCGGTGGAAAATGAACTGTTAAATATTTGTGTGCATTCCTTGATGCGGTGTAGACAGCAGAGTGTTAAATAGTTTGTCATGTTAGTAGATTAGTACACACGGTATCCGCTAGATTCATGTGAGGGTGCTACTGTGCTAGTGTTTACCTGTGTACACTTACACTGAACACTGTCACCCCGTGTAATGTAAACATTACACGCGGTATACTATATACCGTTAATGTTCATAGTATCAGTATTACTATGTTATTATTGTGTACAGAACATGGTACACTATTCTACTGTGTTTTGACATGGTGTGTGAGCCGGCAGTATACCAGGATATACGAGGAAGCAGCAAAACTGTGCTATTATATATTATATAACCTAGTGCTGTTTTTATAACCCATAACATGACACTCAATAATCACACACTTATTCAACTTAATTGTCAAATGTCAATATAATGTTTCCTTGTGTTTGATGAGGGAGTTTACAACTTATCCAAAAGTGGAGAGAATACTCTCCTTTCGCTCAATTTTTTCTGTTGATGTTTCCCTTCATGGCAACATGTATTCCCTTACATGTTCCTCATAGGTAACGAGCACCCAGATAGAAATTTGATATCGAATAACTATCTGGGCAGATGGATAAGAGAGAAAGTTCTCTTAATAGTTGACTTGTTTTGAAAATATAAGGTTGTGTTTGATATTCGATAGGCTGAAAGTCTAAATGATTTACCTCGGCAACCGTAACTTATAGTATTTTCAAACTTTGGTGCATGGGTCTCGCTATTTATGCTATTTACGCCGTTTATTTTAAGAAATAAATGAAACATCGACAAGAGGGGGTTCGGGAAACTGTCTGTTTGATGCGAAGGGTTGATTCGAAAGTTTTTAAATAACGTCATGTTTAATCGTTTTCATGAACAATTCTTGACGAAAATAGTGAATTGACCATTTGCATTTTGATGGCGAGAACATCAAATAGAAATTAGAAATGAGTTTCGTCACGAGTCACGACAGCATTACGTTGGTAATAATTTCTGCCATCTAAAGAATATGTCCCACAGTTCTTGAACAAAGACAGTACAATGGACAATACTATTGCACTTAAAAGTAGAGTGTCCCACATGCACACTGTAAGACCATACAAAAACATTACTATAATTTCAACATTATTATTAAACTTTATGCACAAATGCGCGCAGTAACACTGAGATCCCCTATACAGGCCCTAACTAATACTGCAGCTGCAATGAAGAAAATAAATCCACCGAATTGTATTGTATTATTCTGAATCTACTTGATAAGAGAGTGCACTATTGATGTAATTATAAAATATCCGGGTAGTGGTCTGTGAGAATATCACACGTTAATTAAACTGTGCACATTTCCATCATTTTATAATGATGTACTTTTTCAGATAAATATTCGGTACTCAGTGAACTATGGACTGTGGAGGAGATTTGAAAAGTGACAGCGATTAACCCACCAGTTTATAAGAGGGACAATTAATTCACCACATCACCATGGTTACTAAACTACTTATTCAATTTAGCCTACTATCCTGGTAAATAAGTACAATGTTCCAGAATATCCAGTAGTAGGAATTGTTTAAGATATATAGTTTATTTGTATACCCTTAATTTAATAGTATACAGTATTAAACAGTATACACTGTACATACCTGATACCACTTCCTTTCGAAAAATAATGCACTAAAAGCATTGAGGTGAGTGTTTTTAAAGAGAATAATCTGAGACCCACCTTTTTTATCCTTATTGGGAGCTGGTGATAGTTCTGCACTGTGTCGTCTCTGAAAGGATTACTTTTTATAGAACTTAGTCATCAGAATAAAAATTTAATATTGAATCACCAGAGCTTTTAGTTGATTGAATATGTTGCAGAAAATCGATGGCTGCAATCAATTAGAAGATAATATGAACTATGAGACATGGTGTCAAGAAAGCAATTAAAGATTTTGATCATAGCTACAGTCGTTGCACAATATCTCAACCTGTCAATTTCATGACAAGTTCCGAGTTTTATCTATTGGACAAGAAAATCGATTACGTAACTTTGATTTTAAACTGAAAGAGGTTAAGTGCTGGGAGAGAGATCAATTACAATTATCAGGTTAATCAATGGGTCCTGCTCTGAGGGTATCTAGTTTCACAAAACCTCTGCAAATCCAAGCTTTTAAACACTGCATTCTGCAAGTGTGAACTGTTGCGTTCCTGCGTAAGAATTCAACAGAACTATTGATAAGACGGAGATGCCACGAACAAACAAACACGAGATTAAACATAAATCAGTACATTGCTCCTATGGTGTTCACTAGAACTCCTAGGACCCCTGGCATTGTCCCATCCTCGCCTAACAGTTGTTCTTAGCCTTCTCCACACCCCACTTTCCTGGAACCTCCGCCGGGATTTGGGGGAAAGAACCCCAATTGTGTTGGATCTTTGCCAGAAGAATCGCATTCTTCATCGCTATACCCAATAACCGAGCAGCCGAATGATTTGAGATCGTACGAAATTTACATGACAAAAACACAGACAGTTGAAAGTAATGCGGTATTGTAACCACAGTACATTGTATCTCGACAATAGCAGTTATTTTTAGCTGTGATCGTTCTGTTAGTTGATTGTTAGTACATAATTGATTCGAACAAGCTTTAATTGCACTCACATATTCAGGTTTGCAAGTTTGTCGTGGAAAATGGTCTTAAGAATTCAATGTCAGTCGTCAAAGTGTTACACCAAGAAGAAGTATTTTTGTGTAATTTATCGATTAAAATTTTGACGATATGTTATGATACGATAAGGGGCAAGGACCATTAAGTTGTCAAAAGTCAGCGTATAAATCATAGCACTAAAATGACTCATTACCTCGGGTGAGCTGTCGATAGCGGTCAAATCACTCTCGCTAGCACTAAACCTCTTGGTCAGGTTCCTAAGCAGGGTGAAGACAGTCGGATTCTTACGTCTGAGCGACCCAGTAGGGCGCAGTCCTGGTAATCCAGACCCAGCACGTCTCAGTGATCCCTACCATACCTCTGGATCTGGTGATGGGTTTAGGGGACAATTCGGTGTCAGAGTGGGAGCTGAGAACCCTGCTTCTAGTCTCAAAGTCACGTGACCCTCTGCTTCTAGTCTCAAAGTCACGTGACCCTCGATATGCAGTCTCGTTAAACTCAATGTTGTCTATTTCACAGGGTTTAGGAGGTAGGATCTTCACCTCCGTGTAGGCTGCTTGAGAGTAAATACTGCTGCTACTACCTGGTCTCCAGCGATGAGGTGTGGAGTTACTTCTCCTCTTCTCCTTGTTACTAGGAGTCCTGCTACTCTCTCTTAGAACTACCTCCGCGTACTGAGCAGATGCCTGATCCTCTGCGTACTGATCCTCAGCCGGGTGCGAGGGTTCCAGGTATGTAGGTGTAGGATCTGACTCAGGAATAAACAGATCCTCGTAAATCCCCTTGATCTGACCCTCAATGTGCTCGAAACTGGAGCTGTTAGCTCGTCTGTGGGACTCCTCTATAATCCGCCACTTGTCTTCTATTATCTGCCAATTCACGTAGGGAGCCTGGGGAGTGTCAAGGTCTTTAACAACAGAGCTGTAGTTAGGCTCCTGAGGTGACATCACGTGGTGTGATGACGTCACGTGGTGTGGTGACGTCATGTGAGGAGGTGTCCAGTTAACATAAGCACTGCCACGCAGCGGACACATGGTTTCTGTATCCTGGCTTTGTAACATCAGAGTCTGAATGTTAACATAGTCCGAGTAACCATGTTGTCTGGTCCCTTCACTACCCTCACTGAAGTTTGGGGTGTAGGAGTCCTGTATCTCTTCCTGGCTGTGTCCCGGACCTGCTGCCTCTTGACTATCTGGGCTGAAACTCTGAGCTTGTGCCACAACTTCTCTCCTACTACCAGCAGTAGCTAAAGAGTAATCAGTACAGTAATCCGGTCTACTGTTTACATAGCCCTGCTCGTCACGTGGGGTGTTTGTTGTTGTAGGACAATGCATATCAATGTAATCACCACTTTCAGTGTACTGCAAGTACTGCTCACTACTCAGTACTGGGTGTTTGTCACGAAACTCAGGATGTGTTTCAGGATGTGTTTCAGGGTTTGATGACGTCACTTGGTGTGATGACGTCACGTAGTGTGTCTGGTCATGTCTAGGTGGAGGGTCAGGGAAGTTGTAACAGTTGTAATAATCAGAGGGTGTGTTGTTCTGCTCGGGTGTTAGTACTAGTTTGTCAGGTCGGGCGGTGTGTCCGTGTGTTGTGTCCACGTGTCCGTGTGTTGTGTCCACGTGTTCGTGTGTTGTGTCCACGTGTCCGTGTGTTGTGTCCACGTGTCCGTGTGTTGTCAGAGTTAGTGTTCCAAGGTTGGTGTGGTGTACAGTGTCCGCCTGAAATTGTACATTATCATTATAATATTGTCTTTCTTCACAACAACTTGTTGGTCTTGTCTTAATGTTAATAGTCATGGTCTAATGAGATTGGGCCAGACATTTTTTCGGAATTCATTATTATTCTTGTCGATGGTACCAGGCTAAACTCGGTTAACTTTTCTCACCTCAACTCAATAACCACGAGGGTTACTTGTAGTTGTAGTTGAAATATCATGGAAGATTTTTTAATGTCATGCTTTAAAAACACTAAAATAACTCCCAGATTGAAGCCACAAACTAGTTAGTAGAGATCTGAAGAAGCCAGAGTGAGCAGGACTGTAATATAAATGTGGATGACACTGAGTTAAAGACACACGTGACACATACTATCACGTGACACCGACTGTCACGTGACACATATGCCCATATGGGCTGCATGACAGTTGTAATCAGGTAATACAATCCTGCAACAAGTTTCCACATTACACCTAGTGTATTATAATATACCACTCTGTATGTATAATATATACCGGGGTATTATTAATATTATGCGAATATTATGACTATCAAATAACAGAGTACTCTTTTCCCCTCCCTCTCTCTTTCTCTTCCTAAGACATTATAACCAAGCTTTTTCGCCTCCTTCCTCTCCCTCTCCTCTCCTCTCCCTTCCTTTCCCTCCCCTCTCCCTTCCTATCTCCCTTCCTATAATCCTATCTCTCACTCTCTCGCTATCGCTATCGCTCTCCCTCTCCCTTCCTTTCCCTTCCCTATCCTTCCCAATCTCCCTCCCCTCTCCCTTCCTAATTCCTATCTCTCTCTCTCTCTCTCTCTCTCTCTCTCTCTCTCTCTCTCTCTCTCTCTCTCTCTCTCTCTCTCTCTCTCTCTCTCTCTCTCTCTCTCTCTCTCTCTCTCTCTCTCTCTCTCTCTCTCTCTCTCTCTCTCTCTCTCTCTCTCTCTCTCTCTCTCTCTCTCTCTCTCTCTCTCTCTCTCTCTCTCTCTCTCTCTCTCTCTCTCTCTCTCTCTCTCTCTCTCTCTCTCTCTCTCTCTCTCTCTCTCTCTCTCTCTCTCTCTCTCTCTCTCTCTCTCTCTCTCTCTCTCTCTCTCTCTCTCTCTCTCTCTCTCTCTCTCTCTCTCTCTCTCTCTCTCTCTCTCTCTCTCTCTCTCTCTCTCTCTCTCTCTCTCTCTCTCTCTCTCTCTCTCTCTCTCTCTCTCTCTCTCTCTCTCTCTCTCTCTCTCTCTCTCTCTCTCTCTCTCTCTCTCCTAAGTCATTATAACCAGCCTCTCTCAGACTCATTACGCCCTCTCAATAAGCACTACTAAATGCCCATATAAAGCACTACATGTCCACACAGTGAGCCACACCTCCCCTACAACCACCCAGTGTCAACTATATCGGCTACATGCCCTTATATGGTGCTGCAGACGGTACAATTACAACTGTAACCATCTACGTAGTTTAGGGAGGGTCTTATATCGTAATCAGTGAGGCAATAGTGTGGCGTATAGAGAGAGAGCCGTGTTGTTATGCAATGTTAACTGATGAAATGCTTGATTTTTATAATCACAAAATCAAAGATATTGGTTCAATGTGAGAGAATTTGACGAATCTATAAATCAAAACGTCAATTTTATACAGAGAAAGAGAAAAGATAGGGTAACCCCATTTCCCAAAAAAAAAACTTAGAAATCTATAATTATGGGCCCCCTCCCCCCACAGAGAAAGAAAATGAATCAGATTACGGGACTAAATCTGTGAAACATTACGGCTAGAATCACAAGATAGGTGATCTGTGACAAATAACACAGAGTAGATCAGTAGGTATTATCAGCTGGATATTCCACCTTTTTAAGCCACTGAAAGACATGCCCAGCAGCGTCCTCAAACAACAGAGAATCCTGATCCTCCGAATCAAAGAAACACCCGTCACACTCCACCAACTCATCCTCCAGCAGCTCATCATCAGCATCATTATTATCATCATCAGCCTCATCCACTTCTATCCGGACAGGACTCACTCCCGCCTCCTGCGATACAACACGAGTAACCTACACATTCCCTACACATTCCCTACACATTCCTTAAATAGTTTCCTACCCTGCGTCGGCGGAGAAGAGGGGAGTGTTGGAAGCTGCTCCAAATATTACGGGTCCGCGCGAAGAGGTCCTGACCCGCGATTCCGATGCGGTCGAGGGTGCGGGAGCGGACCAGGACATGGCTAGGGTGGAGGAGACGCGGGCGGGGAATTGGGACGCTCAACAGTGAGCTCTCACTCATGTTGGGGTGGCAGTGGTGGGGAGGCCATCTCACCGCAGTACCATCCTTCACCGGGGGGCTACAAGTTAGTTTCACATTTTACAAGGTTCTAAGAGTTAGTTTCACATTTTACAAGATTCTAAGAGTTAGTTTCACATTTTACAAGATTCTAAGAGTTAGTTTCACATTTTACAAGATTCTAAGAGTTAGTTTCACATATTACAAGATTCTAAGAGTTAGTTTCACATTTTATAAGATTCTAAGAGTTAGTTTCACATTTTACAAGATTCTAAGAGTTAGTTTCAAGAGTTAGTTTCACGTTTTACAAGATTCTTAAATGACGAAAAATGACTATTCAAGGCGAAATTGGCGAGAAAATTGCAGCTCAGAAAGTTATTTGGATGAAAGGTGAATGCCAAATTCTCTAAACTCAAATAAAAACATACGAATAGCAAAATGCTATTCAATAGGATGGACCAAAACGCACAGAGGATAGATCGCCAAACGGTGACTCTAGGCATCTCCAGTTTGAGAAGATAATAATTGAAACTTCTATATTATTTACCACAACCAGGCAGTTGTAATGTAAGCGCTTACTCTATAAATTAATCAAGGAATCACCAAAATTGGTAAAAACATCGTGAGAAATTTTAAACTTCATCTTGGCATATTATTATATCGAAAAAAAGGAAACCTAACCTACAAATCAATATTGTGATATATTTTGAACTGAGGCAAGGACAACCAAGTCGGGTAGTAAATACTGAACACTGAGGAGTTGGATCAAGCAGCTCAATTCGTGATATAAATATTTTTAAAAGACCACTATCAGTACTAAAATGCTTTTAGAGATTGACTTGTTTGGTTAAACTGTAAGATTACAAATTACCGTTGATATTAGAAGCAGAATGTCCATATAAAGATATAAAGGAGCCTTATTCTTATACTACATATTATTTGATGAAATTATTTAAGCATATTTGACATTATCACTTCGAGATGGCCAGGCCTACTCTCATGCTGTCTATATGTGATGATTAACTCTGAAAAACTAGGGACAACTGGGGAATGATCCCAGAACCTCGAGATTTCGCGTCTCTTGCTCTACCAATTGATTGGCAATTGATCGGTGTAGTTGGTGTTGTACACACTGCACTGATAATGATATCACGTTGTACGTGTAATGTAAATATAGTGTGGATAAATGCGAATATATATTCTAAATAACTGATAAAAATTATATTCCACACAAAGCATGAAATTGTGCTGTATATGAGTGGTGATTTCGCTCTGAGAATCAGGGTCAGTAGCTCAATTGGTAGAGCAAGAGACGCGAAATCTCGAGGTTCTGGGATCATTCCCCAGTTGTCCCTAGTTTTTCAGAGTTAATCATCACATATAGACAGCATGAGAGTAGGCCTGGCCATCTCGAAGTGATAATAATAATTAAAATGTTTCGCAGATTGGCAATTGATCGGTGTAGTTGGTGTTGTACACACTGCACTGATAATGATATCACGTTGTACGTGTAATGTAAATATAGTGTGGATAAATGCGAATATATATTCTAAATAACTCATATTTGACATGGTATAAAAATTATTAACCATCCTCAATGTATCAATAAACCATATAAACCATATAAAGTAATCTCTAGATTCGTATAATCTTTAATTTCTAGACTCTTATAATTCTCTGACAGTTTATTAAAAACTACTTTCAGTTCAGATAAACATTTATTTAGTGTCACTAATCTACCAAACACTGTAACCTTCGTCGAAAACTAGCAATAATTTCATTAAAAACCAGGGGTAGAAAACGTGTGTAATCTAATTTGTAAAACTGCATCGTTAATATTATACACACCAGGCCAGACTAAGGGCTCTGGAAATATGCAAATGCCATTACCTACCAAACAGTTCAACAACCCAACGGCTTAAAACAATGTTCATTTTCTAAAAGATCTCAGATATAATAACCGTGTACCAACTAAACGATAATTTGACCAAGTTAAATATGATTAAGAATGACTACCCAACTAGATCTAATAAACCAAACACGCCAAAAAGGCAACAGAAGAGAAAGCAAGGCTCGATACTACAAATAAGATGATCACCAACAACCTCCCCCACCAGACCTAATTAGACTAAAACTCACGAAACAAGACAAACCCAGGCTAGTACAACAAAGTTTTTCCCTGAAACTGGTTTGAACTTAACCGTTTAACTAATCAACTTAAAAAGTTTGCGAGGAGAGAACCTCTCAAAAGTAGCAGGCTCCAGACGGGTGAGCCCAAAACAAGGACTACACCACAGAGTTCAGGTCAGACTGAGAGGCCAGTACCACTAAACCAGGCCTCTAAATACCATGTAGTGCTCTAGAGTACGTAGTGTGTACAGTAAACATAATGATCAGTTAACATGGTAACGAAACAAGCGTAATGTACGCTAGAAGGTGTGGTGTTCTGTGTCTACATCCACAAATAATGACAAATGACAAACAAGAATAAGAACAAGATAGTACAGAAGGTGAATAATATTCTTTTCCAGCCAGCACAACGAGATCAACTAGGATATACCCCACACACACACGCTCACGAGCGCCATATCCACCAACCACAACACAGCACCACCACAGACTGACCAATCAGAGAGCTGGGATACCATCACGTGACAGTTAATGATGGAAAATGATGATGTGCGCGGGTTAAACAGCCGAATGTCTTATTAGTCATTAAGTTATTAAACTGATTAAAGCCAGGGAAAATTAGCCACGTGACAGGCTGTAATTCTGCTTGATCTCAGTCAGATTTGGTGCACTGGATTACGTTACCATGGTTACAGGACTGTACCCGGGTAATGAGCCTTACCACAGAAAACTAGCGTCACCATGGTTACACTAGGTTACCATGGTTACACTAGGTTACCATGGTTACACTAGGGGGAAACCATCTTTATAGAAACGCAGTACCACGTACAACTTGGGAGAGGTAAAATACGTGGTAACGGTATTATGTAAACGACAAGAGACGATGGAAACAGTATATGGCAGACAGCTTGGTAACCAAGTACAATTTACCATGGTTAGCATGTACAATTTGGCTGGGAAAAGATCAAAGATATTCGCGGAACGTACAAGAATACCGGGCCCTGGAGTAATTTAGCTGTCAAATAAATGGAGGTGAGGAAGCAAAACCATTTGAACTGAAGGCATTATATATAATTTAATTCATAAAGGAAATATGCCAATGGAAGACTGGCACCATTAGTTAAGCCCACGTAGGAGAATACGACATATTTATATAATATGTAACCCATATTATTATATAATACCCATATATTACATCCCACGAAGAGGAAGTAAATAAAATCTAACTAATGAAGTAAGGAGAAAGTTTGCCAAGATTGAACTTAGGGTTCTAGAACTCAAAATACCACCGCGTCGTCACGACATGCGCGAAATGAGCTCTAAAAACAAACGAGACGAGGATTTCATTATGCAATATGCTCCTTTATTTAATGGCTTTGGCTGGAATAGTATCATTTCACTTGTACTAGATAGACTAGATCTAATATTCACTAAAATACGATAGACTAGATCTAATATTCACTAAATACTATAGACAAGATTTAATATTCTCCGATCCAGGCCTTAATTGCACTGGAGAAAACTGATTTAGACTGAATCAACATTGAACACGACTAAATGGAAGAAGAGAAATAAAACAACACCATTAGAAACATACAGTAAGAATAAGGGGCGTGGTGACTAAGAAGGTGAGATACTGCATCTCAAATTACTGTGTACTTAACGGGGACTAGCTGGAAATCAGCGAGTCTGATTCCTGAATCCTGAAAGTCAGATCTATCGGTTTTAAGTAGAGAATAAAACAGAGCTTTTCAATGACGTCGTACGCACTAATTGCTTAATAGGATGAATTTTGTAGAATCTAAACTAAAACGTGAACTAAAGAAAGTGTAAAAGAAGCCGGCACATTAGAAGAGAAACAAAGCTCGTTTGATAAGACAGCACATATGAGAGAGTCGACCATAATATAAATAATGTAATAGGGTACGTGATACCGATACTAATAATATATTCATCGTTTTACATTTTACATTCTCAATTAAATTTTCATGAAACTTTATTTCGACCAGATAACAATTAGTTGATATGCTGCACCGGAAATATTAGCCATAAAATCAAGTTAGGCTGAACCACAGACCTAAGATGAGAAGTATGTATGATACCGGGCGAAAAGTACGTACTTGTACTTTCTTTTGAAAAGTACGTATGATACCTCAGTGTACGATTCAAAAAATTTTCAAACTTATTTTCACAGGCGCGATGTAACTTTTTTTAGATCCGACGTTTTATTTATTGGAAACTCCCGACTTCCACGATTGAAATTTCATTGTCATGATGGTTTTGAAAGCCATATTCATGGAGATAATAGAAACACTCAATCGCAGATAACAAAGAAAGTTTAATAAGCTTCATCATTTCATCAAAACAAAAAACAATGAACTTTCTAGCATCATCATTTCAACAGATCAAATTTATTTTCAGCTTTAACCTTAGTTGTAGTGAACGTACCGCGTACGGAACGTTCACTAAAAATAGTTTGTGAACGCGTTCGCTAAAAGATTTTAACGTTCGGAACATAATGAACGTTAATTGCTATTATGAAATTAAAATGCCGGACATAGCCCAATTATCCGGCAAAGTACTAGCGTTTCCATTGCCAGGCCTTCAGGGGAAACTCGGTTTGCCACCCAGTTTATTATGTTGGAGAGACTGAAGGGTTCCAAGGATACTTTGATTTAGACTTATATTGATCCAACCCTTACTGAGTCTGTTAGCAATAAAAGTAATGCATACAAGAATTTGTTTGAGTGCGCTAAAGATTTAGTGTTTGACCCCCATTTCTGGATAGAAGTCGACTATTTATGCTCAATTCTCGAGCCGATAATAGTCTTGCCTTTAACGTTTCAGTTTTGCATTAGAGTAGATGTAGATCAATTTGTTGAATCTCTCAGGCTTAGTGCGTAGTCTTCTACTGCAGTAGATATACTCCATGTCTCTAAAATTTTGTTCACAGACTGAGGAAGAAGTCAGAACACTAAAAACTTTTCTAGCGATCAAATGGAGAACCTCATAACTCTGTGGGCTATAGTATCTCCAATACAACATAGGATTTGGTAGATTCTGCAACGAATCCACTTCGGTGTATAAATTGAGCCCCTCGCTGTCCACATTTAGCCTGTAATGCTCGAGTTCTCTCAGGGCGATACCGCTGTCAAACTTCATCAGTCTAGCTGTAAAACTCTCGCTAAAACTCTTCTTTGATGATCTACAACTTATAAGACTCTGAAATCGCGCGAAATTTTAAAAACCGCGCGAAAGTTTGACACGTGCACTACATTATTGTATCTGCGTACTTTTCCGCAGTATTTTAAAAGTACGTACTTGTGCGATACTTTGAAAAGTACGTATGATACATACTTCTCATCTTAGCCACAGACATGTCATTAAAGATGATCATAATTATGATAATTATAATCGTCATCGCTATTTTGTCTGAAGAGTGAAGACCTAGATGAGGGTTGAGAGTACTGGCTAAGAAATAAAAATACCACGCACGTACTTCGGTTTTTAAATAAATCTGTGAAATTAATGCGAAATCAAAATGACCCGTTAATTTAGCCAGAACAACGACCACAGTAAGTTATGAGCACTTTTGAAACTTAACCCCTAATAAACAATAAAATTACAACGTGACCTTATGGACAGAACTAAGAGTTTTACGAAAGTCCTGGAAAATGTGCCGCTAAAGAGCTCGAAATACGAAATCATGCCCCTTTAAAGTAAGTGTCACGATCAGGGCACTGGGTACTGGCCAGAGAATGTGTAATTTAAAACCATTATCGATAATAATGCTCCTGTTCGAGGTGCATTTACTCAAATATGAATCTGTTAACTGGAAACATGAATAATTGAATAAGAGATTAGCACAAGGCCAAGGTTAAGATTTTGAATCTAGACTCAGTGCTTACAGTTACACTTGTTCTAACTCCTTCTAGTATTCTATTTTTAATCTAGTACTTTTTAATCCAACTAATACGTTCCTGTTAATTTACTCTGCTATCTAAGTTGGACATTTTATATTAATAATTATAGCACTTGCTCAATGTTCCACTCAACTCAAACTGATTTAAACTGAACTTTATCATGCCCACCCGGCAAACAACACCTTGAACTAGACATGAACCCGGACAGGGCTCCGGACAATAGCTATAATCCGGAAAATGAAGATGTGCGAGCAAGAAGAAGAAGAAGACATCATTACAATACAATGATTATAGACTTATCAAGCACAGCAATCTATAACAACACGTGAACATTATGCCGAGCTTGTTAAAATGAAACACTATACACGATCACTGTTTCTGGTATATTCGGAAACGGAACGGAAAGTCGGCCATCTTATTTATTCAGTTCGAAACGGAGCCGAAAGTTAACAATATCCGCCGTCTGATTCGTTAAGTCGTGCAAATTCACGGTGCAATTTGAAACAAAACCGTAAAAAAAGATAGGAGATGAATGATGTGCGTGGTAGCATAATACTATTTTAAATTGGTTAACCAAAGCTCGTGAGTAATGAGTCGCACGTACATTTGGCAACTCTCCATTCTTACGTGCATAATGATTAATAAGGAACTTTAAATTTGTGTAGATTTTAAATTAACATGCGTAGTATGCTGTACTTGATATCACGTGATCTCCATAATATGCTGAACTTGATATCACGTGAGGAGACGGATTTAACATTTTCTTGAAGGTATTGCAATTACCACAAATACTCAAGTTGAGTACTTTGAAACGGAAGTTACGTGTAATATGATCATATCATACGCAGCTAACGTTTTATATTATAATAACGCAATATAATGCGGAAATGTTTTAACACGACAATACTACTCGCCAAGTAAAAAAGGTATTGGGGATATTACTTGGTTTTGCAATAGGGTTTTAACAACAAATTCCCATTAGTTAAGCTCCGCTCTATGGAGGGGAGGGGGGCACTCCATAATATTAGGTATATTATTAAAATATGGGGTTGCCCCCCCCCCCCCCCTCAACTTTATGCAATCAAGTTCGATTAATGAAGCTTGGCTTGTCATGGAGGCCTGGTTTTTAATGGTCAGGACTATGTAAGCAGGTAATATATAATATATAGTTCATGTACCTCGGATTAATTGTTTTAAAACAGGTGCAATATCTTGCTAGGTTTTATTACAAAGCTGCATAAAACCGGGTTTCAGTCAGGGTTATCAAAATAGAACAATCTCCTGCACTCATGCACTGCAAATCCAATAAAGCTATAGTTAGGGTGCCTTCATTCGAGGGCCGCTAGATTTGTATCTTACTGTGTATTGTACTTGTTATTGTACATGTAGAGCAGGGCCTATTGTAGGACCCTACACTCTCTACACACACACTAAATACACTGATAGTGTTATACCCTGAACACCACACAGTTCCTGTACAGTGTACACACAGAACACCACAGTTCCTGCACAATGTATACAGTGTAGTTCCTGTGTAGTTCCTGTGTAGTGCACACACAGAACACCACAGTTCCTGTACAATGTATACAGTTTAGTTCCTGTGTAGTTCCTGTGTAGTGCACACCGCACAGTAATTACACTGGACACAGTGTATTTCCGTTTCACCTAAACACACACAGTACTGCGGGTGGTTACTTGGGTGGACACCGTTTGGAGTGGCTAATAGCGGCTAAAAGCGGCTTGAAAGATGGTGCTTGGTACGGCTAGAGGTGACCAGTAAAGTGGATATAGTTGTGATTTGGGACGGCTAGAGGCACGACGAGCAGCAGATTCAAGAGACTTGAGATGTAGAAACTAAGGACGGGTACAAAACTATTACCAATGTTCTGCCTCTATCTCTTTCAGTATTGCTAACTATAGACTGACTTGAGAAACGAGTCGCCGAAAAGCTTATTAATATAATTTTATATCATTAAAACAGCTATGATAATAAAATCATATTAATGAACTCGAGTACGACTCAACCGATCATTATCAATACAAACAAATAAGTCAGACTTGATTCTGAGACTTAGAAACAACAAATTTAATCTGTGGTTAAAAGAAAGCAGCTTTGTAACTACTGTGTGGTTAAAAGAAAGCAGCTTTAAAGTTGAAGCGATTGGAAGAAACTGGACTCAGTTCAAGCTATTATAGAGTTATAGAATGCTGTTTAGGGTACAGACTACAGCTAACGGTACCACAGAGTGTAAACTACAGTGTTTTATCTTCAAAAGGTTGTAAACGGACCCACATGATAAAGGAGCAAATATACACAATAGCGAGGCTAATACCCCTGCAGATTATAATATACAGGGGACGTACACAGTACAGTGTACATAATGTTAGAACATTAGAACACTGAATAGTCTTACTATCACTCTTGTATTATGTAAAATTCACTGACTTTCTTTGTCCCTCTTTTTAAGTATGGAGATGTTATTTGAACTAACACAATTATTTTGTAGTGCAAGATGTTCCAGTGCTTGACTCTCAAGTATTTTCCCTGGCAGTACGCTAAAATATCAGCGAACCTCCCAGTGATATATGGGATTTGACACTGATATTAGTGAACGTCTGGTGATATATCGACATTAATAGACCCTCTAGCGATAAGAAATTAGGGTCACAAGATACCCTGACACTCGACAAGAGGATGAACACAGACAGATCCTATGTCTCTTCTCTTATTGTAGAGGTGGAAAGAGCGGGAAAATGTTAGAATTTATTACCTGGATAGATTATGTTTGAAATATTAAATTATATGATGCAAAACTAGTCACGATGCATGCAAATAGTGGCACGAGACCAATTTTGCACTTTAATATAAGTTATCTCTACAATTACTAGCCATCTCTTAATTAACGACAGCAAATATCGAAAGAAGAAATAAAACCGACCTATTAAAACTCGATTAAGACCCAATTAACTAATTAACGTACCATGGAGGGTGTGGTATCATTCTCCTTCCCAGGTAGAGGTGTGTTCCTGTTAGCAATTGCCATTGTTAGTATTTAGTAGGTACAAAAACAGAGTCAATGTAAATCAAAGATTGAGGACAAAAAATAAATTTCAAGTCGGTCTGAATTCGAAATTGTGATATTACAATCTTTCTTTGTATCTAAATCATAACTAGAAGACTCCCTTTAACCGGCTTATTTTCATTTGTTTTCACATAAAAGCGTTTACAGCAGGGAAAACAAATAAAAATCCCGATAAATAGAGAAAACAAATGAAAATCCCGATAAATAGAGATTCCAATCAACACCAAATACATATATAAATGTGACAGTTACCTGGGGTCACTAGGAGTGGAGGCGGAGTACTTTACAGGAGCACCGTAATCGTGAAACGAGGAGAATCGAGTGTCTTGACGGTTCTGAAACATTAAGAGCTGATCGATCTGTTAGTATTCTGCTAATTAGGGATTAATTAGCTAATTTGTTGGTGGGGAGATCTGTGAGTTTGAATTGTGAGAGGTATTTGATTTTAAAATCAAAGGCTGTTTTACTCCATCTATCTCACTGTTATGAATTAAGATTGGTACTAGGCCGATAAGCTTATGTGATTGTACAACGGCTAATAAAATCATATTAATCAACTCAACTGCGACTAAACTGCAACACAAACGATCATGATCATTATCAATAAAAAACAAATAAGTCACCAAACAAAATATATCATCAACTTATTTAAACTTTTAAACATTTACCTGGCGTAGTTTAATCGGCGGTAAACATCAAATACAAGCTAATAAAACAGGAGAATATGTTCAAACACAAATACTTGTCAGTACTTTTGGCGGGAAAATTCAACACATTGTACAAATATGTGAGATAATATATTATGAAGGAGCAAACTATTTTACACAGTAGGACAATCTTTTCAACACATAATTAGGAGACAATAAATCGGTATGACGGCATACAATGGTCCAATTGTTGTACAAAAGAGCCACAATTGCACGTGCTACAATTGCACGTGCTACCTAGTCGGAAAGGTGGTAGGAATTTGTTGTATCGAGATAATATCATTCACAATGGGCTACAGACAAAAACGTGATTTGTCATGACTCATCTGGTCTTCAAACGTTAAAATATGACAAATTTGATCGTGGTACAATAAGACATAACACTTTCACTGACTGACGGTAATGTTTAAACAATAAAAAAGTAGTGGTTCTTAGATTAGAAAGTTAGAACAGACCACGATATTCAGTTCAACACAATACAATATTTGCTCGTGTAACCTATTTACAAGCGTATATCAAAACTAACACAAAACTTAATAATCGATAATCATGTAACATTCGTTCATTCATGTAACATTGAATAACGGCAAATAACAACCTAACATATTATTATAATAATTGCAGTTTACACCGAGTAGTTTACGAACGGTTAATAAGCAAACTAACAATACTATGAGAGCTATAACTCCTGCTGCTGATGCTGAGAGACCGTTTAGCTGGGGCCAGCTGCTCATTGAAATATTCCGTCACAGAAAGCCACCACGTGCTACTCGCCTTATCAGTTCGTTAATTAATTAATTACTTAATTAATTAATTAATTAATCATTCAATTGACTAGTTAATAACCTTACTAATTAGCTTGAACCAGTTGGTCAATGGTCATTAGATATATATAATATATTACCTACCCGCCTATCAGTAAATTACTTGTGTTGATGATTAGTAATAATTAGTAATAATTAGTTGATTAGTAATTAAGTCATTACTTTATTATTTACCAGTATTTATTCATCTTAATATTATTCTTAAGATGTCTCAAGACGGTGTCTCACGGTGTCTCAAGACCCACAAACACGGTGTCCTTTTCGTTTGTGTTTAGAGATGTAAACTTTCAATATTCAGTATAAAAGTATAATTATAAGTAGACCCAAATGGTAAATATTTAGTTCCAGGAATTAGGAAAAAAAGGATTGCGTACGAAATAATCTGCACCAAATATCGGAAATGATTTACAATATCATCATTATTATATATTATATAATATCAACTTTTCAAATTCTGAAACTTGGTAAAACTACTTCCACTATATTTTTTCAAACCCACCTGTATTAGAAATCTTGTCCGAAGTGATTTCGAAATTAATTTATTGACTGACATGCTTCAAGAAACTTGGATCAAACAAGTCGACCAATAAAATGTTAAGCAATGGTAGCCGGGTACAATTCAAAGGTTAAGAATAGGCCTCATCAAATAAATTTCTTAAAGGTAACGACTTAGTCTGAGAGTTGCTGAAGCATCGCTGAAATCTACACTTGAGCAGCTATACATAATGGAGATGGGCCAAGGTGTGGTGGTATTATATTCAAACTATTCCAAATATGGTCATTTGGAATTGATGTAAAACCGCAAGATTATGGTTTGATACGTACAATCAAATTCACCTTTGCTTCAACTGGAAAGGGGTGATTATTCATTTTAGGCTAGCTACCAAATTTTAAATTACAAAACCCGATTTTCAGATAGAAGTTGAGCCAAGATGTTTAGATTCCTTGCACTTATTAATATTGGTCAGTGATCACTTAGTGTTGACAAAAACACTTTTAGGCGACTTTGTGTAAACTCCACGTTATGATGGTTAACAAGGTTTTTTGAGTTCAAAATTATCCATATTCAGTTATTTAGATATTATTAAAATAACAACGATTTAAAATTCAAAACTAAAGCAAATTCAGCTCCAGCCATAAAATTCAAATACTTACTTGGAAAAGTGTAGCAATCCAATTCGCGCATGCAAATAGAAGCTCAACAAGAATTGCGCCCGTTGTTTCGTTTTGGCGGACGCTAGATTTCCATTTCACATTTACTATAAATTTAAGTATAACTATAAGCTCCAATCAGCTCACTTCAATCTTCATGATAATAATATTGATCAATTATGCATCAAATACGGGAAACACTTGAAATTCAGTTCAATTGCCGTAGAACTTAACTTGTATCTGTAATTCAAGAAATTATCAGCAAAGGTAAACTATACTCGTGTACACATCAATACACTACGCGTGCCACGTACAAATTGGGTGTATTACCTAATAGTAATATTATACATTACATGCATCATATACACAGTCGCGCCGCGCATTCATAGATCACAGGCTATCTATACTTCTATACATCACATCTCCGCAAGCAATCCTCGCGCGCGCCCAACTTTTTCGTTGCATGGTAACGAACGAACACACGACATATTTAAACCCACCTATCTCGTTCTCCAAAATCCACGTTTTTCTGCAAAAACCTCCATTCGTAACCTTTCACTATTGCCTTTTTTCAAAAGGGTGAAAAGGAAAAAATATCGACCATTTTTTCACGATGTATCAGATCATAACACATTCATAGCAAAATTTTAAATTCGGCGCAATAAACAAAGCAACTTTAACCAACACAGGAAAAAGTTGTCCCACGCTTGTTTTTATATTGATTGATTGAAAGTTGAATTCTTAACATCACTACCGTAAAGGGTATTGTGTTCCATCTTGAAAATGCTATTTTGAGCTGAAAGCGTCTTAAATAATACCACATTCCATTGCATTCTTGCTGTGAATTCTTTGGAACAAAGATAGAAAATATGACAAGGGTAGCAGCGAGTGATCTGGCTTATGTAGCCACTCAACCACTCAAATTCAACAACAAAAACATGCTGCAAGTTTCAGTAACATTCTCAACTCTCAGTGGCTATCCTGACTTGAATAAAGGCATATTTATAAATATGCATATTATTTATATGCATATTATATGCATATTTATAATTTATGTCACTATACTGACTGAGATCAATATTATGAAAGGTTTATCCCTCCTAACTAACGATCATACCTGTTTAATCTTGTCGATATTGGATCTGACGGAGCTGTTATGGTCGTTGCCATGGTTATAGTCGTGATTTGCCATCGCTGGTATGTCCGGTATTTGCTCTCCGTCACTGTCTATATTTGACAGGTTCTCTATCGACCGTCCTGCTGAAGTTTAAAGAAGTTTAGTTGTGTAATGTGTCTGTTGTAAAAAAGTAAATCTGTCAAGACCTCAGCTTTAAAGCAGCTGTTATAACAACGGCTACTATAAATAAAGTCTAACATTTATCACACGCTTCGACATTAAAATGTTTACTACGAAGATGTACATTTGCTATTTAGGCAAGATTAACTCTCCCAACCTTTTAACACATGTTTAATACATAATATTTGATACAAGAGAAACGCCATTTTCGGACGTGAGGAGAGTTAGGACTCCTCCAACTACATTAAATCAATTCCTTCTGTAACGTCCTCAATAAATGTAATAGATTTACATAGTGTTGTAATTAGTTTAAAACTTTGATATTATATTAATAAATTAGTATAATACATATTAATAAATTAGTAATACATAATATATTATAATATATTATCAAAGAACAAGATATAAAACTAACTTGAGCTGAGATTACGAGACGGCACCAAGAACTGGTTCATAGGATCTGACGCGGCACTGCCCTCCCTACTAGAATCAACACTACTCTCAACCTGTTTAACAGCAGTAAGGGGGGGAGGATCGTCTCCCTTGGTGGTGTCCGTGTGTGTGTCTGTACGGGTGGATGTAGTGTCTGTTGTACTGCCAGGTGTATCCTGGTGAGGGTGTGGTGAGTTACACGTGTGTAGAGAGAGTTAGTGTGGGTGTAACTGTGTGAGTGTGGGCATTTAGGAATCACACTTCTTAATTAAGAAAATAGATTGCAAAGTTTTGTGACGTTAAAACTTGAACATTTGAGTTACGAGAAGCCTAACAGATAGGGGACACCGTGTTTAGGAATTATCATTTTACTAAGGAGAATGAAACCACACGAAACAGTTTACAGCCTGTGAACAATGACCGTGTCAAATAAAGTATAAACACTGAGATAGAGGATCCGTAATAACCTGAACAGGAGTGACAACAACATCTGGAGTAGTTGAAGGTTGAACAGCAATCTTAGAGGTATCAACAAGACGTTTAGTTCGAGGATCGGCGTCAGGAACTTTGGGAGGAAGATCAACAACAGAAGCTTTTCGACCGATTATGTTCGTAATCTTAGGCATGATAGGAGTATCATTGGATGTAGTAGTCTTAGATTTAGAAACAACAGGAGGTGTTATCTTAGGCTTAGAAGTGATTTCAGGCGTAATACTAGGTTTAGGAACAACATCAGACGATACATTAGGCGTAGGGGTGACAACAGGCGTAACCTTAGGCTTGGGAGCTAAATCAGGCATAACTTTAGGTTTAGGAGGAATATGAGGTGTTATCTTAGGTGTAGGAGCAATATCTGGAGTAAATTTAGGCTTAGGAGGAACATCAGGTGTTGTCTTAGGCTTAGGACCAACATTAGGCTTGGTAGTAACCTCATGCTTAATCTTAGGCTTCGGAGAGATATCAGGCTTTATTCGACGATTCTTGTCAGTGACATTTGATGAAACAATGTTTGGTTTAATCTGAGAGTCTGATTTAGTAACAGTAGGTGTAGCAGTACCACCCGGTGTACTAGCAATAACATCACCAGACAAGGAGAGGGGCTCGGTAACTACAAGTCCTATCTCTAGCAGGGACGCAGTGGAGTCCTCCACCAACTTCCTCAACTCTTTCAACTCTCTCGTAATGTTCTGGGTAATATCTGAGATCCTGTCAAACTCATCCTGAAACATATCTTCTATATCATCTTCAAACATATCCTCGAAATCATCTTGAGTGAAGTGAGCGGATTCTACTGATTCTGTCAGCTGACGCTTCCAGCCATCTAGCTCCATCATCGATATTTGAGGAGTTCGAGAGCGTTGTTTGTAGTTCTTTACAGAAGAGTCGAGTATAGCTAGCAAAGGATGGCTGTATCGCTGACAGTCCGTCAGTTTGTAATTCAGAACCTTCAAGAACAAGCTATCAATGACGACACAACCGTGAGAAGCAAAAAGACGAAGAAGACAACAGAAGAGTTCTCTTGGCAAGCAAGAATTTACAGCTCAATTGTAGACACTCCAATACGGAAGAAAGAGATATTAGAGTAGAACAGCCAGCTCCGCCACCACACAACACAACAGCAAGTAGAGTGAGAGATTTAGTGCGAATTAAGCGAGCCAGCTGTAAAATATTTCTATATTTGAATATTATCGTACTGTGAGCTAGAGAATGTTATCCAGCCGTCATCGGGAGTGAAATTTTTAATTGTGCATGAATTATTATTAATATGCGTGAGTATGTAATTAGGGTAATTAAGTTTTATATTATGCGGAGAATGTGAATGTAATTATGTTAGTTCTGCTGTGAGAATGTAACATAGAACGGAGACAAGAAATACTTGATTGCTTGTGCACATGCACTAAAAGTAAACAGGTAGTAAAATTATAAAATGTGCACAACATGCTAAGTCGACCAATCTGCAAGTGAGGAGAGGACCTACAAGCGGATCAATGTAGTCAATTAAACGATATTATTTAGATATTTTCACTAGAGCAGAGGGGGAATTACCCTAGGCCTAGGGGTGATGTGACGTCTGGGCTTTGGTACTGTATTCAACATTATACTAAAGAGCGGAAATGAATCTAGACACAAAAATAAATACTAAATCAGCTCAAAATTAGTTGGCTGATTAGCCAGAATAATCACAATTCATCATAACTCAGCTAATTAGCTCAGCCAATTAGCGCTAATAATCCAACTAATTGTCAATCAATTAACTAATTAACAAACCGACACTCTAACTCACCTCTCCCTGGGTCTTAGCCCCAGCGTTAGAGATCCGAGCAGGTCTCTTCAAAGTGGCAGGTTTAGTTGCTATGGGTGGGGGCAGCTTGCCACGTTTATTTGGTTTAATGGACTGCTGGTGGTTGTTTTGGCCTATCATGGGCTTCACCGCATACGGAGAGATGGGAGGAGGGTTAGAGTTGAGACTGTTCCGGTCGAGTGTAGCGGTGGTGGAGACAGCGAGAACTTCCTCACGGTGGGACGGGGTCTTGTTGGGGGAGGGGCGCGAGGCGGTGTTGTTGTTGGAGAGCGTATCTGTGGGCTGAGGGGATCGGAGTGAGGGATAGGGTGTGGGACTAGAGGGGCTCTCAAGCTCAGTGATAGGGTGTGGGACTAGAGGGGCTCTCAAGCTCAGTGATAGGGTGTGGGACTAGAGGGGCTCTCAAGCTCAGTGATAGGGTGTGGGACTAGAGGGGCTCTCAAGCTCAGTGATAGAGTGTGGGACTAGAGCGGCTATCAAGCTCAGTGATAGGGTGCGAGGGTGCGATGTGAGAGATATGGAACAATAGTTACTGTGCTGGATATTTCTTGATAAGGCTTCATAAAATGGGACAATGGATCAAAAAGAACGGGTTAATTTATTAATATCTGTTCATGCACTTTATATCAAAGGGTGACATTATGTATTTGCGTGAAACACTTATTTGTAAAACAACCTTTGCTTTGCTGTCTGTAAGGCTTCAACACACTTTAAAAGTTTAAAAAACTAAAGAATGCACACTCGACCTACCCTTCAAACACATTTTCATGAAATCGCAAAGAACAAAGCTAGCACTTTTATATGAATAGCGCAGTACCACATTAGTACCACAAGCACACAAAACATGGCCAAAAGCATGTGCTGCAACATACAAGATGGTAACTTCAAAAGGGGGCAGGAAGGTTATCATTTTCACAACTCCATTTCCTGCACTGTCAGTCGTACGGAGTTATAAAATAATCTTCACCCTCCCCCTTTGAAGAACAAAACCCGCGTATAGAGCACATGTGTGCGTGCTCAGTGCATAGCATAGTGCGTAGCACAAAGTGCACACTAAATAGCATAGTGCGTAATGCTTAGTGCACTGTGTAAATTGCAAAGTGTCAAACTCACAACGCATAGTGCACTGCAGTAGAGTGCAAAATGCAAAGTCCACAATGCACAACGCATGATGTACAATGCACGATACACAATGTACATTGTACAGTGCACAATGTATAATGTACATTGTACAGTGCACAATGTATAATGTACAGTGTACATTGTACAATGTACATAGCAGTAGCCATACAAAGCGCACGTGAATGTGTGAGAGATAGCGGCCCTTGCTTACCCCGTACTTGCTACCATTTCGAGCATGGTTTTGTGGTCCACTTTTAGCCTGGAATACATTTATTCTATAACTAACTCTGATATCATATCACCTGCTTAATGCTTTACTTAAACCAGGTGTAGAGGGTGCACCTGGATCAACTTCTCGTTATTGCTTAAATGTGGTAAAATGGAATGCTGCTATTTGATGTTGTTCTGCCATTAACTTTAACGTTTTCAGCTTTGAGAACTTTGTTTACCACACTTGACCAGCTAATACTAGCACTTTGCTGGGTAGTTGATTGAGGCACACCTTCTACAACTGATACGTGTAAAGCACGTGCGCTGCGCTCTTAGCACGTGCGCTGCGCACTAAGCACGTGTTGCGCACTTAGCACGTGTTGCGCTGACTTACCGATAATAAGACTTGTTTTATGAACTTCCATCTTAGCTTGGGCGAGAGTATTGCGTTGTTGGAGTTATACATTTCACACTACAAATTACAAATTACAGGTTGGATTTATACATTTCACACTACAAATTACAAATTACAGGTTTGTTGCTTTACACTCATTCAAATACAAACTTTATAAATTATTGCTGGAGAAATAATTGTAGAATAATATTCTTTTAAATCATCTAATTATGGATCAAGTGAGCTCAATTATTACTAAACTTCGCTAGTGTAAAACTTGTCGAACAATCGGACTAAGTTATGAAGATGAAATAATTGGAATAGTTAATTTACAATAAAGATAATTATAAATCACGCGACTATCAAGCAAACAAACGAAACTGCCACCACAAACTACATGCCAATCATACGCCTTACAACACATTACGAGCTTAACAAATCACACCAAGCACCATGAACCAAGTCACATCAAACACAGTGGAAGATAGATATTCACTACAAGGATAGCACGCATCATGTGCACTACACCGGTGTCTACAGCTATAGTCTACAGACACAACTAATACGGCTCAACAATCAACATATTGTGGTGCTGCCACCAACATGTTATCATCTGTTGTGGCGTTATTTAACAAATTGTACTTTAGTTATATATCTTACTGAAATATCATACTGAAATGTTATTATTAAAGGTAGGTTTAAAGTTAAAGAGCACACAACAATAAGTTAAACATGTTCAACACCTGCCACCAGGTAACAGCAGTAGAGGAGCAGCTACAAACTGATCAACACTATTACTCATCACTACTGCAGTGGATATATACTTTTAGTTAGACACGTTGGGACAAGTAAAATATTATTATATATAATAATATATATTATATATAAGAGAGTATAAAATAACTAGAGCAGAGTTGTACTCAACTCGTTTATTTGACATAACCGAGAACTGTGTTAACTTTCTCTTACGTGATGATCGTTAAGAGTCGAATTTCTGATTGTTAGTTCAAACAGCTGTTAAAGTGAAATATTAGTGAAATATTAGATTCTTATTCATTGATTAATATATTTCGGATCATTCTTCAAACTTAATGGACCGTAGTAAGTTTTAGTCATCGTATCTAAAATAAGCTCTATTGTACAACTATCTTACTATCATTATGTCTCTGAATGAGTCGATATTCCTTACTAGTTACTGAACTGAGCTTGAAAACGACAGATATTAATACTGAAACAGGCAGGTTAATGAAGGAGCACAGAGCAAGCACGTGTCTCCGCGGTGAATATAATTTAAAGATCTTCGTGTCAGTTTTAAACGAGTTCTCGGAAGAAAAGGCCCCAAAATAGTGAATACCGCGCAATAAAATCAACCAAGGTTAAATTCCAGGATGTCTCGGATCAATAAACGGCGAATGGCTATTATATGGCGATTAAATATACAATATTAAAGTGCAGACAAAGTACAAACGGGGACCATCAAAGTAACAAAGTCGCGAGGGAGAGAGTAACACTAAACACACTACGCTAAGTCAATGACTATAAATAATAAAACGGGGACTATAAATACATTATATTATAACCAATAACGAGAGAATGGGAACTAATGGCACTAGATGTTACAAGATACTAAGTGAGTTAGACACCACATGACTTGAGCAACATACCAACAACATACCAACAACATACCACCACACACCATCTCACTAAAACATAACACAACGTCTAATCTGCTGCACAAGAGTAAGAGGTCTATCTTTAAAACGATCTAGCTATATTGTATTACAAGAGTGCTGTGATCCAGTCTCTAGGCTATTTACACTTAATAATAGCATTACAGCTGGTGACATAACTCTGGACTAAAGAGGGGCCCAACTAATGGAATGGAATGAGGAAACCTGGCCGGTATTTGGCGTGAAGAGCAGAAATAGTGCAGCTCTAATAAATACACGTACAATATACATGATATCAGCCGGGAAAACAGTACACATATCAGTTGCAGCCTAGAGCTAGGAGACATCTCATGAAGATGGCTACAGATAACATATAACACCTTATCTAACATAATAATAATAGAGCTTCACTATCAGCTGAGAATAGCACACTTGTGCCCTGGGCTACCCAATATTTGTGCCAATATTTTTGTTTTTTGTTAGATGTCTACTTGTGTAGTGGTAGTAATTCGACAGCAGTGGGTTCACATTGTGTTTTTGTTTCACTTTCACTCTGACTATTGTGTTTCACTTTCTATTTACAAGCATTATCTCACCTCGGTTCGACTGGACATAGTGTATAACGCGTGCTAAAGGTGGTGTTGATTGTGTATACTTGTGTTGACAAAGGACGTTTAACAAAAATATTAAGTAATAATGTTTGGTTAGGAAATGTACATTTGTACAATGTTTTACTTAAGGAAGTAAGTTTTGGACTTTTCGGTCATACATCAGTATTCCGACGGCAGTACGGCGGCAGTACGGCGGCAGTACGGCGGCAGTCCCGCGGCAGTACGGTGGCAGTACGGCGGCAGTCCCGCGGCAGTACGGCGGCAGTACGGCGGCAGTCCCGCGGCAGTACGGCGGCAGTACGGCGGCAGTCCCGCGGCAGTACGGCGGCAGTGCCACGGCAGTATAGTGACAACACTTATATCAGACTTTTGATCCAAGTATTTCATGAGTTTGATGATTAGTTCACATTGATTTGTCAATTAAAGAGACGATTTTGATGATTTGTCAATTAATATATTTGGATAAATCAATATTAGTTGTATAAATAAGTTCATACAATATCACTATAACTTTAAATCAGTAACTGTCACCCTGGAGCAATAAAATAATTTACATTTAGAGAATCTTTCCAGCAGCAATTGCGAGTTGTTTCTTCTCCAGAAAGTCACTCTGCTTGAGGATAGCCCCACATCGGTCAGAGAGAATCTGCTGGTTGATCCTGTCAGTCCGCTCCTCCATGAGAATCTGTTTGATGAGACTGCCGAATCGTGGTCTATCAAGGATAATCAGCTCTGCTATCTTCTTCTTGCGGTAGAAGGATCTTTCAGGGATTCGTTTCTGTTTCAGGAACTTTGAGAGGCTGATGGAGGTATCAGGACGGTTGGCAAAGTCTCTGTGCACTCTGTTGTAGGAGGATAAGGCTTTGCCAGCTACAGAGGAGCGGGAGTAGGTTTCATCAGTGTTCAGACGGCGTCTACTAGGTGGTGGTGAGGAACTGGAAGAGGGTCGGGTAGGTGTAACCACAGGTCTTACTAGGCGAGCATTATCAGTATCTGGTGGAGTAGCTCCTCCTCGTCTAGAAGGTATAACAGCTTGAGTGGCACCAGGAAGGATAGTAGGATCGTTGGTAGGACTAGGAGAGAGGGGACGAGATCTACTAGCCAGTAGTGTCGTTCGATGTAAACTGCAGAGGGATATGTTCAGCTGTAGTTCTCCACAAGGTAGTCGAGTGTAGTCCTCCGTCCTGCAATCTTTACAATCTCTGAGTTTGATTTCTGAAAAGTAGACGGACTAGGGATACTGGGGGATGATGTAGTAGAGCTGAGAGAGGAATCCATTCTTCAAGATTTAGGTGTTCAGATGTTGACGATAATCAGATCAGAGAAATACAAAAGATACCAGAAGTACCTGCAATGAATCTGAATTATTTTAATATTTTATTGCTCCAGGGTGACAGTTACTGATTTAAAGTTATGATATTGTATGAACTTATTTACAACTTATTGATTTCTCGAAATATATTTTTAATTCACAAATCAATGTGAACGAATCATCAAAATCATGGAATAATTGGATCAAAATTCTGATATAAGTGTTGTCACTATACTGCCGCCGTACTGCCGCGGGACTGCCGCCGTACTGCCGCCGTACTGCCGCAGGACTGCCGCAGGACTGCCGCAGGACTGCCGCCGTACTGCCGCGGGACTGCCGCCGTACTGCCGCCGTACTGCCGCGGGACTGCCGCCGTACTGCCGCCGTACTGCCGCCGTACTGCCGTCGGAATACTGATGTATGACCGACTTTTCGTGTAAAATAACTGATATTATATTAAGCTACAATTATACAGTTAAAAGAATAAGTCATGCAGCCAGCAGCCATGCAGTAATATAATTTATTTGCTTATCTCAAAATCAAGAGACTCATCATAAAATCCAGTAATCAACAAAGAAATTAATAAGATTGTTAATTTGTTAGTTCAAGCGAAAAGCTGTTTTGAGTAAATGACAGTAAAATGCGGAATGTACATATTAACGTATGTAACGTAAGTAAGTTAATTTTGATATTTCACGGTATTTTATGCAACATTCTTCCTCCATTTGACTGTGAGCGGATAAATCATAAATTAACAAGATACTTAAGTAAGGAGACACAGATAAACATGTATAATTACCTGTAGTTTGGTGAGCGGCAGTATCTCTGCTCCACGTGGCTTCTTCCATACTGTCTCCCCCGTTGTACTGATAAAGAATTTAGTTCAAAGAGCAGTACACACATTCATAGTGATTCACAGTAACATACTGAATAATTCACAGTGATTGGTGATTGTAATCCAGAAATGTGAGTTGCTACCGAGCAACCGTGACTGTAAAGAGTCGAGGAAACACGTTATTACACCATAATTTATTTCCTCCATAACTTTACAAAATTTGTTCTGTCTGACACTGTTAAAATTTAGTGCTATAGTTTGTTACATTACAATGTTTTCTTGTTGATATAAACTTATAGACTTATTATGTAACTTAAAACCTGTTGTGGTAGTAGTTCTTGTTAGAGTTGGGATCGTATAACTCCCACCACTGATTAACACTTGACCCCTTTCTGAAATAGTTTATTAATTAGTTAATTATCATGTTGTTATAATCAATTAATTGTCCTGTTATAATTGGTTAAGTATCCTGTTATAATTGGTTAATTATCCTGTTATAATTAGTCAAAAAGTCAAAAGTAGCTTATTATTATCAGAGCTTTTCATTTAGAAATGAAACAAAATCTTATGTAGCTAGGGCGTGGAGTCACTCTACCTGGTTAAACGTTTCCATTCCATACATAATACTCAATAAAAGTAATATATTTTAAGTGTAATAATTAGTTTAAAATAATTGATGGTAACCCTGTATCCTGATAACCTGGTGAGTAAAAACCCAGTTACCTGGTTAACTGGTTACTTGGTAACCTTGTAACCTAATAACCTGGCAACCTAGTAACCTGGTAAACTGGTAACCTGGTAACCTGGTAACCTGGTAACCTGGTAACCTGGTAACCTGGTAACCTGTAACTGGACACACCTGAGCACCTCACTACACACACACTGTCTACTATGTAACTTGCAATTTGAGGAATGAGTAGAAAAGTCCAGTCTCCCTAGGGATTACAGGGCATTGTAGTTGTTGACAGGTCAGTAGCTTTTACAGTTAAAAACAGTGCTAGTTGGAGTCAAGTACTGACAGCTTGGAGGCAAGTACTGACATGTTCTAGTCTCGACTAGTGTCACTTTGTTAGTCAGAGTTATATTAGTTACAAGGAAACAATAAGTTCTGGAACTAGGTGTGGAGACTGGAGGTGTTACTGGAGGTGTTACTTATTGGTTAGTTCAGGTTATATATTATATATATTAGTCAAGGTTATAATTACGTATTATTATAGATCATTTAACTTACTGAGTGTAACAAGAGTTGACTTCATGAATTGTCAGTTAGTAAGTAAGAGAAAACGACCAGTTCAAGAGAGTAAGTGTAGTGGGTTAATGTTACAACTACAGACTGTTAAAATATTCACATGACAAGTAGGTACTCCAGAACACTACCAAGAATTTGAAACATTGAGTACAGAATGTGCAGTTGCTAGGGGTAGCATTTAAAAAACTCTTAACATCTGGAATGTATAATTGGAATGTATAATTGGAATATTCCCATTTACACAGAACACCTCCAATCTGTCACACACCCACACAGTGTATAAATACATGTAATACGAGTAGGTTAAACAGTGTGAGGTCATGTTGTGAGCTAGTGAGTTAATTCTAGTACAGTCAATACAATTACATACCTGGTGGCCACTACTGATTTTTATTAAGTAAAATTATTGAGTAAAATTATAACAGGCTTACAAAATTATGCAGACTATTCACACTTACATTTTCTATCTGTGTTCGTAAAATTAAAAATGTAACATCATCTGACAATATGAGAGCGTGCTTTGATTTTATTCTTAATCTTAATACAGGGTAGCCTAATGAGGCTTATTGTTGCACGTTAGCGAATAGCTCCCGATGAGATCACTGAATGGGTGACGAAATCACTGATTAAGTGCCGAGATCACGTATCTGCAAGATCTTAAGGCCAGAGGGGGGGGTAAGGGGTCAAAAAATTCTACCAAAATATTATTTTCTAAATCGATTTAATTTTGAATGACAAAAACATTGCCGCTATTCACATATTTGTAGCTGATTAACTTTATTTTATAATTGAGGTTAACCGATTTTCGCAAAATTGACTATACAACATTGAGGTTAATAAAATTGAGGTTAATATTTTATTCCACGCCATAATTTTTCGTTATTTCGGTCAGCAAATGTAAACTCTAAATTTTAGGTTCATAATTATCAGAAAAAGTTATATCCAAACGTGATTAAATGAGGTTAACCTCGTCTTTTAGATATAGCGAGAATAGATCAAATGATAGAGTTACTATTTTCATCGTAAGTTTACGGTATACACATTTCTAAATAGATGACGTGTCGATTGACTTTCTTTTATCTTGGGAAAATGAAAAAAATGAGGTTAACCATCACATTTTGGTACCGTAGGGAGTATACATACGATTCTTACTTATGTTATGTACCACAATATCGAAGTGAGGTATCTATTGGTATCACAATGCCTACAACTATAATCACGTGACAAAGGTGATTTGAACTGACCATATTTTAGTAGAAGATTTTACCCGTAAATGGCTAAAAAATGAGGTTAACCTCTCATTTTTTGAATATCTGACCAGTCAATTACATGTTAACCTCAAAAACTTAATCGTTATACTGTGCAAATGTTTTACTACATATATAATAACATATTGATAAACCAATCCCACTATTATATGGTCTAAAGCGAGGTTAACAACCAAATTTTAAGCAGTTAGTGTTTACAGGAAGTCTTGGTTAACCTCATTTTTTACAATACAAGGACATTAACTACTGAAAGTGGCTAAAATCATTTAGGGGACGGCCAGGTCTGATCAAGCAAACGTTATTAAGTGTATAAAAAGTCCTAACTAACGAACTGTGATACATTCCAGTGAATATTCAAAATTTTGAAAACACTAAATTGCATCTATCTCAAAACACATTTTGTGACTTTCAGTTCCTTAGTTGAGAAAACCAGCCACTCCCTGATATTGAGATTTGGTACAGTGGTTCCTTGGACAACTATCTAGATATTAGATGCAGCGATTTTTTTTATTTGACTCGTTTCTCGAATTATGAGGTTAACCAGCTAAATTTTCCGAATTTTTGACATGGTTAACCTCATAATTCGAGAACTGAGTCAAATTAAAAAAATCGCTGCATCATAAATGAGGATAATTGTCCAAGGAACCACTGTACCAAACCTCAAGATCAGGGATTGGCCGGTTTTCTCAACTAAGGAATCGAAATGTCAAAAAAGTTACAGCCGTTTAAAGTTCCAGTTTAACATGTAATTACAGGTAAACCTCAAAATTGAGCGCGCGATATCTCAGAAGCGCAAGGTCAGATTTTGATCCGGTTTTTTTCTTTTTGCTCGTCTCCAGTAGCTATTATCAAATGTGCAAAAACTACAAAAGTGCCATTTACCCCCCCCTCTGGCCTTAAAAGGGTCATAAGTCATAACTCGGCTAAATTGTGTTAAATCAACTTGAAATTTTGGGAAAGCACTTCAATTATCAAACCAAATGTGAAAAAGAGGGAGTAGCGTGCCTTTTTAATCAATGACATTTTACGAAACTTTCAGGAAATCTAAGTTGGACCCATTTCTATATTCTCTGAAATTTGTGTGCAATTCTGATACGAATTACGTGAGTTATTAAAGGGTTGCGTGTGAGCAGTTACTTCTGGGCTATCCTGTACATTGTCCAAAGCAATATTCTGTTCAATATTGTATAAAATGCTGGGTATTTTTAGATAGCCAAATTGACCAAAAATCTATCCAAATTGAGTTATCTGACTAGAAAAGTAAATAAGACATGGCGTGGTGAATTTTACCATGGTTAGAAGGTAACCAGATCCGGTTACCAGATCAAGCAGGTTGATGATTTCAAATACTTGGGCTCATATATTGCAGAGAGCAGGAAGGACTTCAACACCAGGAAAGGCATGGCTTGGTCAGCCTGTATCAAACTGCAGAAGGTATGGACCTCTGGCATTTCTGACCAGCTGAAAGTCAAATTCTTCAGAGCATGCATCGAACCTGTTCTGCTGTATGGCTCAGAAACCTGGACCTTGAACAAGCAGTTTGAGAAGCGTCTCGACGGGTGCTACACCAGGCTCCTAATGAAAGCCAGGAATCTTTCATGGAAGAAGCATCCAACCCTAAAGCAAATCTATGGTGACCTCCCTTCCATCTCCACCATCGTTGCACAGAGACGTGCCAGATTTGCTGGGCATTGCATGAGAGCTTCAGACCAGGTCATCTCTACCATCCTTCCTTGGCGGCTGCCACAGTTCAGGCGTGGGAGGAGACCACTCTCTTTTCTTGACACCGTAGCCAGGGACACAGGGTTGCGGGTACAAGATCTCCGAACAGTTATGTGCGACAGAACCATCTGGAGACGTAGAGTGGAGGAGATTTCGATCGAGCATCGCCCAAAGTAAAAAGTAAGTAGAAGGTTGAGAATTTTGGCTATTATATAATATAATATATATTATTACTTTATACACATGATATTTACGTTACATATTTTCGGTTTTGTGCCGTACAACATTACATTGAACTTATCATTTTATTAAACAAAGACAGAAATATAACCAAACATACTTTGTGTTACTAATTGAATGGACAGATGACATAAATAACTACTCATAAAATATATTAACGTACACAGTAGCGCCTAGAGGAGCTTCCCAAAGACATTCGCCAGTATCAAGGTTTGCGAACATGGGTTCACCGGTTCTTGGGCATTGTATCTCGACCCATTCGACACTGAAATATGCAACACTAAGCTCGTTATTGGCTTTAATCTCAATATTGAAAGGAAATTAAATTTGTTAATCAATAACAACTTAAGGGTAAATCAATTTAAATGTGTCTAATTGAGGATTAACGACTTCTAAAACGTAATTGTTACAGTTCATAACTTACCCAGAAGCCATGACAATGACATCCCCTGCTCAAGTCCTAATTTGAACTTCTCCCTATTATAGGCATCAGCTGAGATAATGATGTTTAAATATTTTACATATAACAATAAATGGGAACTTTAATAAACAAGTTGGTGTGGGAATTTGTGGCATCGGATTTTCTACAAAACTCAATTTATAGGGTAATATATATTAAATAGTAACACCAAATAAAGCATCAAACTCAATTCCCTTGGGAAAAGTCTGTAGAGCGATTTAAAGTTTGATGGATTAAAATGAATATTACAGTAATAAAATATCCAGAAATATGTAATTGCTCAGTCTTAATGAATTTATTATTCAACACTAATTATCAATGAATTATATTATGAAAATTGAAGAAGCTAGAAATCTGACGTTTCATTAAATTTCATTAATTTTTTAGTAATAAATGAATATTGTGTTATATTGATTATATTCAGCAGCATTATTAAACAGCAGAGTAAGTCTAAAATGTTATTTTTACTAAAAATATACCAATAAATCTGCAAATGATAGAAAATCATAGGTAAAGAAGTAACAGAGTTTAAGGTAACAAGGGAGTTTAGATTACAAATTAATTGGGACCTAAATTGTCTGAGGATAAAATACTATAATAATAATTAAAGCACAACTCAGCAGTTGCAACAAAATTAAAAATATGATATTAACTGCTTATTGTTGATACTTGCAATCTTCTTAAATATTTTAAAAGAGAAACCCTGAAACTTATAGCTTAGACACGTTGCTTAGTAAAGCCCAACGAGAGATGCTCTTCAGTGTGAATTTGTTATTGTCAGATCAAGCACAAGAACACTCTTTACACTTTCTCCTTTCTCCTTTACACTTTCTCCTTGGTGATGCCAACAGGGGGTGCTTTTTCAGCGGGTGCGCCAACAGGCAACGTTATGCCACTGAGCAATCCTCTGACATACTTATTCAATTTTTGTGACAAATTGAATAAGTATGTCTTTAAACCAATTTTAAACTTAAATACAGAGCTTCTCCAAATCATATAATTGTGACAAATTGAAACATAATATCCACTGTATATAAACACATTTTAACTGAATTCAAGTAGAAAATAAAACATTTCGATGATAGGTCTTATTAAAACGATCAACTTACCATCATGTCACTATGTCATGTCAGTGCTTTCCGTTTCCAACTCAAATTCTAAATGAAAATTAAATAATGACAAGGATAATTACTTGGTATACTGGCATACACCAGGGGTGGAGACTGGAGGAAGCGGGGGGGGGGGGGGGAATAGTACTGTTTCAAAGCACCTTTATACCTCTGATTGCTAAATTTACATTATTTTATTTTTAGCAGAAAAAAGCCACGTTGGGGCCCCTGTGCTGCCGCTGAACTAGCCCCTGAGCCACTTATTTCGAGCTTCTTTCACCCCTGACATAAACACTCATGATAAGGTATTTAAAGTCTTTGGCAGCTAGCTTCAGGGTAATGGTTATTGTTCTAATTGTGCGATCGAAAAAGTCCAAGAAGAAAGGGTTTGTTGTCAAATGTAGAGAGCTGTTTCATGGCCTCCGTATGATCCATCCAAGTATTTATACGCATCTTTTGTTCAAAAAAGTACTAACTAAACTACAGAACACTATAATATGTTTATGGATATGGGTAACTTTCTCATTACGGGTATCGGCCTTACAAAATGACACGAAAAAGGAGATGGCTCTGAAATGCACAAAAATGAGTTTTGTTCATGTTTTATTATCCAGATAGGTAGTTCAACAGGTATATTTTTCTTCCCGGGGGTTGATTTGATTGAAAAACCGTAAATTTTGCGATAAAAATTTTCATCTTTGAAATCTTCCAAAAAAACATGCCTTACAAAATGACAATTTCGTAACGGCTGTCATTTTTTAACAGCAGCCTATAGAAATTTGATTTCACCTAGGACAGTTAGATAAATATAATAGATTGAAGATTAGAATAGCTTTTACAGGAAAAAGGATGATTAAAAAAAGTTGGGCAATTTCGCGTGAGATAGTGCCTTACAAAATGACAACCCAAAACGGCATCACTTCAAATCTGATTTGGGAAAAAGTTTCAGTATTCTTTCACGTGTCTTACTGTTAGATATATATGTTGTTTATATTATACCAGTTCTGTTTTTACCAGAATATATTAAAAAAGGAACATTTTTTATACTTTGAAAAAATTTTAAAAATGTCATTTTGTGAGGCGTAAAAATCATTTTTTGTTTTCATACTTGAACACAGTATTTGGTTATATTTGATATTTTCTATGACTGGATAGATCACTTTTCAGTGTTTAGTTAACGTTTGACATGTTTTAGGAGTTGTTATTACTCTCTGCTTTCACAAAATAGAAGCTTTATTTCGTTGAGTTTTGAATTTAGAGTTTGAAATCAAAGAGTTTGAAATCAAAGTTTTGATATCAGAACTGCACTTTTTTAATGCTACTTGATTGTTAACTGTCAGATTATGATTATTTTTAATTCCTTCTTGTATTGACTGTTTCTGATCCATTTTAGATGATGAAAGTAATTCAATCTGAAACATTGTCATTTTGTAAGGCTTTTCGGTGTCATTTTGTGAGGCATTTTGATCAAAATTGATGATCAAACAAACACATTTAGGCTCATCATAAGCTTACTGGGTTTAAGAATACCAATAATTAGGCAAGGGGCATCCAATATAAATATGCCATCTTTGTATCATAAAATAAAACTGTCATTTTGTGAGGCATAACACTGTCATTTTGTGAGGCTAGGTCATTTTTTTGTCATTTCTTCTACCAAAGTCACTAAATCAGTTTTTTTATTTGACCAGAGTAGTCTTTGATTGACATAAGTCATGGTAGTACCTGGTTTTCTGGGGTTAAATTCTAAACTTTGGTCTCCATTCTGGGTAACAGTTAGGCGGGGCAATGACTGAACAGCAAAAACGTCCATATTTATGTAAGAAATATAGATTCTATGTCATTATCATTCCTTGGGAAGTGTTAATTAATGCTTTTTCTTTCATACAGTAAAAGGAATAGGGTTCAATGTATAGGGAACCTAAGCTACAGCATGGTCTATGTGGGCTGTCATTTTGTGAGGCCTGTCATTTTGTAAGGCCGATACCCGTATATCTTTATGTTTGATCCTGAAAGCTGTCATGACTAATGATCATGTTCAGGTACTTGAAAACTGTGTAACACACTTAGCTTGTGAAGCAACAGAGATTAAGAAGCTGCTGGAGACCTTTACTGCTGGAAAATCTTTAAACCATTCCCATGTGGACAACCTCATTTCGACAGCTAAAGCACAATGTACCTTGAAAGCTGCTACTGCTCAGGGTGAGGACGATAATGTTTTGCAATAAAAAAACGAAAAAAATTCTTATTGGTTGTTTAAAAAAGAAGCTAATCTTCTTAGTACAAAACTCTCCTTAATACAAAACTTTAAAAGACAGTGGTTGATGGACTCCAGGTTCAAAAGCAATATCTTGGTAATCTTGTTGTTATAATCTCCACTCAGGCATCAAGAGATACTCAGAAGACAAAATTGATTATATCATCTGGTATAGTGAAACAAATTTTAGTGAAACAAATTTAAAATTTTATCCTTTATTTTACAATCATAATATAATAATATTTATAAGCCTCCGTTTTGAAAGTTTTAAATTTTAATATATTCACATTTCTATTTAAAATTCAATTTAATGTATAAGTCAATAATTAAGGCCGCCAAAGCCGCGCATTCTTGAAAACAGGATGAAATTGTTTATGATTATACGACAAATAGAAATAAATTTCAAACTATCCGTGGATTTTTTTAATAAATCATAATCTTACCTAAATCCAAAGCCAGCTTTGTAAAAATTTACTATTAGATCCAGCCCCTGCACGCATCCGTTCTTATGCGGCGTGGCTCAAGCCGCGCATGCACGTATTATTTTATACTTTTTGCTTTCTAATAAATATTGTGTCAATGTGTACGTCTAAATGTTCATGTTTTGTGTAAACCGAGTCCAATTGAGATTAGTGACAAGGATAAGGACCCAAGTGCCTGTACGGCTTTTTCGGACCCCTGTGGACCACTGCTCTTGAAATCGCTCTACAACTATTGAACATTTATAACTGCTATATAATATATAACATTATTTGACAATTATTATCATTGATCTACAATCTAACTGTCTTGCTGAGGGGGAGGAGTAAAAGCTTCACAAACTAAAATACTTACAACATACACAATTTAAAATATCAAGGGCCAATTTGGTATACCTCTATTTCGTTTTAATATCTAGTATATCTTCACATCTTAATACTATAATGAAATACAATAGGATACATGTTTCGAGAAAGAAAGGTTGGTCCGATTATTAACAAAAGTAAACAAAAGTTCATCAGGGACTCCACGGAGTCGAAAAAGGTACACGGCTGCTGTCTGGTGCTGCTAGGCATTTATTGATCAAGATGTTTTATTGTATTGGTTTTTGATGATTCTATTGTTCGTGACTAATCAAGTTCTAAGTGGGGGTATAAAGTGCTGCTTAAGATACTTCGTCATCTCATGTCCAGTATAATGAATAAGATAGTAAACAATACAGTTTCAGTAGTTGACCCATACAGTTAAGTCCGTCATTACTCACAATTGTTTAATCATCTGTCCAGTGGCGTAACGAAAGGCCCTGCTGACCCCGCTGTGCAGGGGGGCGCCGTCTTAGGGGGGCGCCAAATCGTCGTTTGAATGTGGGACAATTTCGAAAACTTAACTAAAGTACTAGCAAAACTGCGCGTTTTGCTCTAGATACACACTTTTTTAGAGATTTTACCGGCGTATTCTTTAAAATCACCTAATTTGTTCAATTTTAGGGAGGGGCACCAAAAGGGGAGGGGGCGCCAACAGGGGGGCGCTTTTTTCGGCAGGGGGGCACCAACAGGCAACGTTACGCCACTGCATCTGTCAATTGTAAAAGTCGTTGTGTGTTTAGTCGCTGAGTTAGCAGTAAGATAAGTTGTTGCGCGCGCGCGTTTATTCCCGTCGACGTGAGATGTGACAATGAAAACGCTACAGACTTATTGTTTTCGCGCTTTACGTAGAATTTACTAGTGTGTAATACTGGTTAACACTGGGTGTACACTGAGTGTAAGTCGCTAAGTTTCATATACGAGCCGTTGAATATTTCCAATTTTGAGTGTATCGTGAGCATGTTTTACAGTGCACTTGTTTGGTACTAGTGTGTTTGTGTATATATATATATATATATATATATCATCTGTGGAGTATGGTGTGTGGACTGTGGTAAATAATGTGTTTAGTTGGAGTGCAGTGGTTGCATGTATGAGGAAAGATAAGTGGTTATTTTAGTAACTCACATTAATCAAAACTTGAGCTCATTTGTGGCAAAATTAAGCTCACACCAATCAAGTGTATCATGCTTGAATTGCAATTCTTGTAAAGCAATTTTCAATGTATTCTTAAACCCGTTTGTCGGAGTATTAAAACTTATCTTACTTGATGTTTGTCGACAGCTGTTCCACATGTAGGATGATTGGTAGATGAATTGTGAGGATGGTTGTGATGTGATGAAATAATCCTCTCGTCGTGGTGACCTGTTAAAGTAAAGTAAAGTAAAGTAAAGTAAAAATTATGACATAACATCATCACTAATGTCTACAAAGTATCATCACACTACATGGAAAAATAACTATTTCTCCATCAAATTTAAAGGTAATAATTTATCAAATATTAATCATGAATAAAAACAACATTACAAAATTTAATTTATTCATACTTCCCAGTGGAGTAAAGATTTATAAAACGTTTCTTTGCTACATAAGGATGGAACCACAGATAATCATTGTGTTTTTCCTTATTACTGATATAACTGGTACCTTCAATTCTTGTTAAAACTTCTTTCGAAACATTCCAAAAATGAAAGTCATTTACAATACATTTAGAAATCATATTCTTTTTAAAACTTTCCAATCCAATTTTAAAACTCAAAACTGTCAAGCAGTTCTTCACCTCCGAAGGGAGTTTGTTCCAATAAGGAACAACCCGCTCTGGAAGAAAAGAACACTGAAGATTCTTGACCTTTGTCACACTCTTACTACATCTATTGGATGAAACCAGATTAAGACCTGATCTGCTTGGTCTGAACAAGTCTGAACCATAATCAGTCAAGCCATTAATAACCTTAAAAGCTTCAATAAGGTCCCCACGTATTCGCCGCTCTGCCAGCGTTGTCAAATTAAGGATTTCCAGTCTACGGCTGTAAGGAAGAGTACCCACCTCATCAATCAGACGGGTAAACCGCCTCTGGACGCTCTCCAGCTCCAAAACAGTCCCCCAACTTCCATGAGCCGCAACTGGATTCCACAATTGGACACAATACTCTAGATGAGGTTTTATCAAAGCTTTATAGATGGCTATCATTACACATTTTTCTCTAATTATCAAATTCCTTACAATCCAGCAAATCATTCGATTTGCCTTGGAAATACATGCTTTTATCTGTTCATTCCAAAGCAGGGAACTATGGGTAATAACCCCCAAATCTTTTTCCTGATCAGATACTTCAAGTTCTACGCCATTTACTAAATAATTTAAGTTAGGGTTGCTATTAAGATTAATATGAACAACTTTACATTTAGCAGGATTAAACTTCAAAAGCCAAATACTCTCCCAGACTTCCAGTTCTACAATATCTTCAACAACAAATGATGAGTACAGTGATAATGGTTCCTCTAACAAGTGAAAGTAAAGTAAACTTATTAATTTTGAATAGTTCTAAGAGACAAGTGTACTTATACAGGTTGTGAACAGTTAAAAATTTCTGATTTTCTGATAAATCCATGCATTTTAACCCTATGTTTCTCCCAATATTTGAGATAGGGAGTATATTGATTTTTTGAAGGGTCGTTTTTATATATATGGTCATTGTGACAATTATGTGTATATTGTTTGAATAATTTGTACTCTTAAAAAAATTTTAACCCTATGACATGGAGGTTAACGGGTGATACTCGTTAAATATCTGTTCCATATCTGTTCCAGGACCGTCGACGAGTCCAACTCGGCGCGCGTCCTGGTAGGTTGTAAACCTACAATGGACTCGTCGACGTTTAACATTGCATTTTGTAGCGCAATGCACTACTGGGTCGCGCCGCGCATCAAATAATTCTTCTTCGGTAGATCGGCGAGATGCACCATTGTGCCTCACCGAGCTGCGAAGGATTTTATTCGCTTGACATCGTGAATCAATGCAACATTGCATTTGAAACAAATAGTTTAAAAATTATATCACCCGTTAAGATTAGTCCATTAATAATGGATATGACAACGATTTTATTGTCCATTGTTAATGGAATAGCCCAGCGCCCGTTATTTTGTAGCACTTGCCTAGGGCCATTTCAAGATAAGAAGGAAGCAGCGCGCGCTTCTTCGAAAAAATTTAGACGAATAACATGAAAATCGCATCCGCCAACGATTTTATTTGACGAAGGCAACTGCATCATGAGTTTAATTACTTTTGAAGACTAAACGTTTGACCACGAATGATTACAATTCAAATGGAATATGGCACACAGGAGGGCCAAAGTGCATAGAAACTGTTGCAAATGGCGCGCTTGGTAGCAGCAACTTTTTGATGACGATCGAAAATACAGCGTAGGGCTAGCTCTGTCGAGTTTTGCTATTAACCAATGGTGATTTAGCAAACTCAAAACTCACTTTTATCGTATAATCAGAAATTTCCGCACGGTCGTGCGCGCGCAGCTCGCGCGAAGGTGTCCATCATTTGTTTACATTAAAGATTTCGCGCGTTCCATCAACGTTTCCGTTCACACATATCCGAGGACAGAAAAGAATGTTCTCTTCGTAATTGTACGATTACTTACATCTTCGGCCTTATGTCTTATGCCTCCAAGTTAAAACTTTATTCATACGTGTTTTAATCGATCGAAAAAATACTCAGAAGGATGATCAAAAAGACAATTGATCAATATCATATGATGAAGTTTCTTATCAAGAATTAATATCACCAGTCTAAATTCTAATAGACTATTCGATCATGTTAAAAGCTAAGACGAATTTATTGTACACGCAGAAGACAAACTGAGGGCAATTGTGGGAATAATGCCCACCGGGAGAAAACATCGCCTCCAGAATTTGTAGTTGAATACATTGTGTTCACATTCTGCAATTATAGAGGTTTTATCCTGTTCACTTAATTGGAGCAATTCATTACTACCATAACTAGCAACTAATGAACATTTGTAAAGATTGAGAATGAAATAAGAAACGTGTTTAACCTAAAACTTTCATTTAAGTCTCAAATCACCATTCAAAAGCAATAAAATAACTCAAAAGCAAATTCCGCGAAGAAAGTTGTTCAATGTTCATGTCGGCATCTTATCGGCATCTTGTTGGTGCGTGTGCAAATATTTCATTCATAAATAGAATGCGTATCAAGCATGTCATTCCATGCCAAAACATTGGTTTAGCAAAGAGGAGAACATATAATGGTCTAGTAAAAATCCCCATGTCCCGGCTTTGCACCAGTGCGACCAGTTCCACCGCAACTACATCAAGAGTAACACTTTCAGTGACACTAAAGTGGCCAAACTGGTGCAAAACAGGGACATCGGAATCCTACTTTACGACCCATTTAATATTTTAACGAAATCAAGTTTTTACAAAAAAGTTAACACCATAAAAGTAATTGTTAGTTCGTAACAAGCATTTTTAATAGTCTGATAAAAACACGTCTCCTTGACAACGGTAACCACGTGGTTTTATCTCTTGATCACGTGATCCACTATATCGCACTATCAGGCAGGTCAATCAATTGTTCATCACAGTAAAGTAAGAGCCTCTACAACTATGCGTGGTATGTTCTAGACGGGCGTGTGTCCGATCGGGAATTTCTGCGTGAACTCGTTAACTTCAGAGAAAATTAGCTCCTTCCACTGTTCGGGGTTAAGTTCAACCTATAGTGGAATTTGTGATTAATTTTTAAACATCACTCACAGTCAGCCGCTCTGACATGGTTAACCACCTTCCTTGTGTTGTTGGTTAATCATATGAGCTTGATAAAAATACTTCATTTAATTTCAAACCTATTAATTTAAATTTTAAAACATATCGTGTCTACTAGACTGTATATGTGAGAGCTGAAACATCAAGAAATAATACACCAAAATTAACTAATTACAATAATTAACCAACTAATTACCTCGTCAATGCCGTGGTTGTAAGTCTCAGGACAATTAACGCTGGCCTCCTCCTGCCTGTAAATGATCAAGAAATAAAATCACAACGAAATCATATTTTTAACTATCAACTTGAGTGTGGTTGCTACGGCAACAAACGGAAAGATTTCAATCTTTTAAAACTTTAGAAAAACGGTGAAAATATAATTGAGCATTAAACTAGCTCAATTAAGGCCGGTAAAACTAGCTCAATTATACTAAGACTGTTTGTAACTACTTGCCTGTACCAGCATCTGACATAAGGGTGTTGCAAGCACTGGTCAATAGTCAGTCTCTTGAGGGGGTCAATCTCCAACATTCGGGACATCAGGTCCCTTCCCTCGCTGGTGCGCTGCTTGTCGTTGGGGCTGCCACTGGGGAACAAGTGGTCTGGTACCAGTTCCTCCCAGGTTGGTCTGTGTACCTGGGGTGGAGTGTTTAGGTTTTAGGTTTTTAAATATTTGATACCCAATATTATAATACAGCAGTTTATACAGTTATACAGGATATATAGCAGTTTATGTAGGATATTTACAGGGAACGTTTAGACGTGCACTTGCAAATTGTTTTCCTGTATAAACTACTTATAAAGTTACAGGTGGTTTCCTGTTTAGTATCCACTGTATGGACCAGTTCTTGAGCGATCAGTCCTGAGCGACTTAATATAATTGATAATATTGATAACCGGTATCTACAGTTTAACTAGAAAGCAAGGTGATACTACTATAATAGCAATATTACACACTCTGTAGTGTATATTGATAATGTTAACTCCTGCAGCATGCCAAGGAGCGTGCCCTGTAATTTAGAAGTAAAATATAGCACACTGTTTTAAACACATGTGCTATGTAGCGACACCGTGTGTATAATGTTACACTGGATCTATTGGGAGGGTTTGATTACAATAGCAGAATATGCAGAGAATATGTGGAGAATATGTAAAGAATGTGTAGAGAATATGTGGAGAATATGTAAAGAATGTGTAGAGAATGTATGTAGAATATGTTTTAAGTACAAAACCAAAAGTTGAGAAGTTGAAACATCACTACCGATCCGTTAAAAGTTTTGAGAAATCTAATTTTCAGTGAGTCCGGTGATTTAATCGTAGTATGCGGGGTATGGAGTGAACCAATGATTGCATCACTTTTTACTTTTGATATGGGTGGAGAATCACACGAAATACCTTTACTTGTGATACTAAGGAACAATGATAGATCTTGTGACCATCTCGGGAATTTCACACTATAATTCTATAGGATCATTTATCATTTATGAAGTCATTGGTCATTAACCATAATATTATAAGTAAGATAATGCCAACAAGCTTACAACTAATCCTAAGTCTGGCTGTGTAACGGCAAATATAAGAATTTAGTTTTATTGAGAAATGAAGAGTACCATAGTCAATATGATGATCAAAACTTCACAGATTGGATCCAATTCGACTTTTCAATCGTCGAAATTTCATCTCACGACGAATCTACTTCAAGGATAAAAATCGTAACATCGCTTCTAAATATAAACCCTTAATTCTTATCTCAACCCTAATGGCTTAATCCTGACACTAACCTAAACCCTAAAATGTGAAGGAGTAAAACCTCGTGTATTATTCCACTTACCCTGGGCTTGCTTCGGATGTATGTCTTGACTGTGTCCATAAGTCTCTCTATGAAGGAGTCGTCAGGAGTTCCCAGGACACTCGTGATCTGATGCCATTGGTCTATGTGATCCGATCCAGGGAAAAATACCTGTCATGTGATCATTGTTACTATGGTAACGTATCCTGTGTGTCATGGTGTCTTGGTAACTTGACCGCACATGACTGTATATTGAGAATTTGAGTCAATATGACATAATATCATAAAGTACTGTATGGGCAAGTGCTATTTTTGTCAATGACATTTTAATGGTTATAGTGACAGATTGCAGTTAAAATATGACAGATTGCTAGCAGATTTGGCAGTGAAAGCAGAATTTAATAAAACGCATGAATAGCAAGCGTGTTTAGTGAATAATAATAATAATAGTATTCTCATTAGCTTAATTTAAGCTTCAGTTAGCGTGTGAGTGTAGCAGAATGAGTCACAATACGATGAAATGATATTAAAATAGGGCTGTACAGTCACAACAAACCAGCGAACATGCAGAACTAACACCACTACTAGTAATGTTGTTAGCAGAACTAACACCACTACTAGTAGTGTTGTTAGCAGAACTAACACCACTACCAGTAGTGTTGTTAGCAGAACTAACACCACTACTAGTAGTGTTGTTAGCAGAACTAACACCACTACTAGTAGTGTTGTTAGCAGAACTAACACTACTACTAGTAGTGTTGTTAGCAGAACTAACAACACTACTGGTAGTAGTGTTGTTAGCAGAACTAACACCACTACCAGTAGTGTTGTTAGCAGAACTAACACCACTACCAGTAGTGTTGTTAGCAGAACTAACACCACTACCAGTAGTGTTGTTAGCAGAACTAACACCACTACTAGTAGTGTTGTTAGCAGAACTAACACCACTACTAGTAGTGTTGTTAGCAGAACTAACACTACTACTAGTAGTGTTGTTAGCAGAACTAACAACACTACTGGTAGTAGTGTTGTTAGCAGAACTAACACCACTACCAGTAGGACGTGTTCAAACCTGGTTGGTGGTTTTGTTACATTTTTCCCACTCTTTACTTCTGGGCCCCCAGATTGAAATCTGTAACATTTTAAGAAAAACTGAAACTACTGACAAAAACTAGACCCTTTGACTGAGGGCACCCTTGAATCAACATTTTTGTAACATATTCAGGTCCTGAGATATAGCAGTATAGTTGGGGGCCCTGGATATTGAATTTTGTAACACATTTCTATGTTACACTTTTTCAATGAGTTTTTAGAGAAGCTTCTTGATAGTTTTTCAAGTTCAGACCAGTTTTTCTAGGTCACAAAGGGTTCTATCAACCATATTCTTGACCAAATTTTGTACTTGGGCCCAAAACATTGAATTCTGTAACATATTTATGATTTCACTGCCAAGGTCATATCTGGAATATTCAATATATTTTTGTATTGGTAACATGGTGTTTAGATTCTCATAAAAAATTCTGAAGCAATCCTTATTCATAAAATTTGATAAAATGGCTGCGGAACTTGAATTATGTAACATTAGAAAGTAAGTGAATAGAGTATGTACCCTAGTGTGAGGGGTGTTAGGTAAGCTTTATTATAGTTTTTGAAGTTCAGACCAGTTTTTCCAGGTCACCAAGGGTTCCATCAACCATATTCTTGACCAAATTTTGTACTTGGGCCCAAAACATTGAATTTTGTAACATATTTATGTTTTGACTACAAAGCTCATATCTGGAATGTTCAATATATTCTTGTACTGGTATCATGGTTTTTAGATTCTCATACAGAATTGTAAAGCAATCCTTATTCGTATAATTTGATAAAATGGCTGCGGAACTTGAATAATGTAACATTAGAAAGTAAATTTATAGAGTATAGTATATAGTATGTATCCTAGTGTGAGGGGTGTTAGGCAAGCTATATTATAGTTTTTGAAGTTCAGACCAGTTTGCCTAGGTCATAAAGGGTTCCATCAACCATATTATTGACCATATTTAGTACTTTGGCCCAAAACATTGAATTTTGTAACGTTTTAATGTTCCGGTCAAGCATTTTGTACACCAAAATTGTTACAAATTTCAATATATAGGGCCCAATTTCTATTTTCTATACAATTTGATATATAAATTAAAGGTTTTTAAATATCCAACCTTTAATCTAATTAGCTATATTCATTTGATCAAATTTACCGCGTTCTGTCGTAGAACATTACATTTAAATTGTTACAAAATTCAATAATTTGGTCCCAATTATCATTTTTTAAATTTGTTAAGTTGTTCCATGTCTTTATTATAATGCATCGACCAACTTAAAACCAATACTAGATCAAACAACTCTGTATAACATACTCATTTGTAACCATGTTACGTTATTCAAAGAAATGGGCCTTTTTTATTATGAACCATATACTAAGATTGTGATAATGCCTTTATACAAGAATTGCTGCACTAATAACCTGGTTTTAGAGTTAAATACATATCCTACACTAGCTTTGGTTGTAACAAACTATAAAGATATCATGAAAACAAGATGTTACAAAATGTCCATTTTGGGCCTTTTTATGAACTCAAAAGTGGGCCTTTTTTTATTCCACAGCTAAGCAAATACCTAAAATACATTTTTGTGAAGCAAGAATCTTTAGAATTTAATAATTGGCTGAGCCATTGAAAAGTGTAACCAAATGTTACATTTTTCAATATAACTGGGCCATTTTACAATATTATTCATAGCCGATGACCTGAGACTATTTGTTATGACAATTATAATCATATCTGAAAGTTTCAAGACCATCGAGTAATTATTAATGGAGTTATTGTAAAAATGAGAAAATCACCCATTTTGGCAGTGTAACAAAACCACCAACCAGGTTTGAACATGTCCAGTAGTGTTGTTAGCAGAACTAACACCACTACCAGTAGTGTTGTTAGCAGAACTAACACCACTACCAGTAGTGTTGTTAGCAGAACTAACACCACTACCAGTAGTGTTGTTAGCAGAACTAACACCACTACCAGTAGTGTTGTTAGCAGAACTAACACCACTACCAGTAGTGTTGTTAGCAGAACTAACACCACTACCAGTAGTGTTGTTAGCAGAACTAACACCACTACCAGTAGTGTTGTTAGCAGAACTAACACCACTACCAGTAGTGTTGTTAGCAGAACTAACACCACTACCAGTAGTGTTGTTAGCAGAACTAACACCACTACCAGTAGTGTTGTTAGCAGAACTAACACCACTACCAGTAGTGTTGTTAGCAGAACTAACACCACTACCAGTAGTGTTGTTAGCAGAAGTAACACCACTACCAGTAGTGTTGTTAGCAGAAGTAACACCACTACCAGTAGTGTTGTTAGCAGAACTAACACCACTACCAGTAGTGTTGTTAGCAGAACTAACACCACTACCAGTAGTGTTGTTAGCAGAACTAACACCACTACCAGTAGTGTTGTTAGCAGAACTAACACCACTACCAGTAGTGTTGTTAGCAGAACTAACACCACTACCAGTAGTGTTGTTAGCAGAACTAACACCACTACCAGTAGTGTTGTTAGCAGAAGTAACACCACTACCAGTAGTGTTGTTAGCAGAAGTAACACCACTACCAGTAGTGTTGTTAGCAGAACTAACACCACTACCAGTAGTGTTGTTAGCAGAACTAACACCACTACCAGTAGTGTTGGTAGCAGAACTAACACCACTACCAGTAGTGTTGTTAGCAGAACTAACACCACTACCAGTAGTGTTGTTAGCAGAACTAACACCACTACCAGTAGTGTTGTTAGCAGAACTAACACCACTACCAGTAGTGTTGTTAGCAGAACTAGCACCACTACCAGTAGTGTTGTTAGCAGAACTAACACCACTACCAGTAGTGTTGTTAGCAGAACTAACACCACTACCAGTAGTGTTGTTAGCAGAACTAACACCACTACCAGTAGTGTTGTTAGCAGAACTAACACCACTACCAGTAGTGTTGTTAGCAGAACTAACACCACTACCAGTAGTGTTGTTAGCAGAACTAACACCACTACCAGTAGTGTTGTTAGCAGAACTAACACCACTACCAGTAGTGTTGTTAGCAGAACTAACACCACTACCAGTAGTGTTGTTAGCAGAACTAACACCACTACCAGTAGTGTTGTTAGCAGAACTAACACCACTACCAGTAGTGTTGTTAGCAGAACTAACACCACTACCAGTAGTGTTGTTAGCATAACTAACACCACTACCAGTAGTGTTGTTAGCAGAACTAACACCACTACCAGTAGTGTTGTTAGCAGAACTAACACCACTACCAGTAGTGTTGTTAGCAGAACTAACACCACTACCAGTAGTGTTGTTAGCAGAACTAACACCACTACCAGTAGTGTTGTTAGCAGAACTAACACCACTACCAGTAGTGTTGTTAGCAGAACTAACACCACTACCAGTAGTGTTGTTAGCAGAACTAACACCACTACCAGTAGTGTTGTTAGCAGAACTAACACCACTACCAGTAGTGTTGTTAGCAGAACTAACACCACTACCAGTAGTGTTGTTAGCAGAACTAACACCACTACCAGTAGTGTTGTTAGCAGAACTAACACCACTACCAGTAGTGTTGTTAGCAGAACTAGCACCACTACCAGTAGTGTTGTTAGCAGAACTAGCACCACTACCAGTAGTGTTGTTAGCAGAACTAACACCACTACCAGTAGTGTTGTTAGCAGAACTAACACCACTACCAGTAGTGTTGTTAGCAGAACTAACACCACTACCAGTAGTGTTGTTAGCAGAACTAACACCACTACCAGTAGTGTTGTTAGCAGAAGTAACACCACTACCAGTAGTGTTGTTAGCAGAACTAACACCACTACCAGTAGTGTTGTTAGCAGAACTAACACCACTACCAGTAGTGTTGTTAGCAGAACTAACACCACTACCAGTAGTGTTGTTAGCAGAACTAACACCACTACCAGTAGTGTTGTTAGCAGAACTAACACCACTACCAGTAGTGTTGTTAGCAGAACTAACACCACTACCAGTAGTGTTGTTAGCAGAACTAACACCACTACCAGTAGTGTTGTTAGCAGAACTAACACTACTACCAGTAGTGTTGTTAGCAGAACTAACACTACTACCAGTAGTGTTGTTAGAGGTAATAATATGAGAGAGCTAGACACTGTCTCAGTAATAAGAAGGGAGAGATCCAGTAGAGTTTACAGGTAAAAGAGACAAAGTATAGTCGATAATGTCAATTAAAAGAGACAACGTATAGTTGATAATGACAAGTAAAAGAGACAAAGTATAGTCGATGATGACAATTTAGAAAAGAGGATTTCAAGTTGAATGTTGAATACAAGAAGGCAGTAAATGAAGAACAACTGTGATAGGAAACAGACATGATATATGAAACATTACATGCTTTACATAATTAAACGTTTCAAATATATGAATCTAAAATATACTCTATGTGTACAAATGTGTATACTCTATGTGTATAAATGTGTATACTCTGTGTGTATAAATGTGAATACTCTATATGTATAAATGTATATATAATACTCTATGTGTATAAATATACTCTATGTGTATAAATGTGTATATTATATGTGTATAAATGTGTATACTCTATGTGTATAAACATACTCTATGTGTATAAATATACTCTATGTGTATAAATGTGTATACTTTATGTGTATAAATATACTCTATGTGTATAAATATACTCTATGTGTATAAATGTGTATACTCTATGTGTATAAATATACTCTATGTGTATAAATATACTCTATGTGTATAAATATACTCTATGTGTATAAATATAATCAATGTGTATTACGAAGAATGTAAAAGAACCGGACACCAATACAAAACAATTGACAGTAATAAAAGAGTACATTGTAATAATATCAAAGTATCAGGATGCATTAGACAGTGTTAACTTAAGAGACTTCCACAGCACATAACGAATAACATGGGATACATAGCAGGATGAAAAGAAGTGTTAGAATTAGAGTACAGACGGATATACACAATATAGCGTGAAAGAGTAGAGATAGTTCTACATGGAGATACGGATACTAGATACGGATATTAGATAAGTTTTAATATCTAAAGATCTGGTACGACATAGTTTCTCAAGGAAGATAGGGTGTCAAGTCAGCGTAAGAAATACTTGAGCTGGTGAAGTTGTTATAGGAAACGTGTCTATTCATAGAAAAGTAGGGTTAACATATTTCAACTAGGAGACTGATCAAAGAGAGACATTAATGAAAGAGAGCTATTTTTAGATATTCAAGGAAACCCAACAATTTGCATGACATATAACATGAGAGAGAAGGATATGGATGTTACAACATCGATATTAATGTTAAGGTACGTGTTACCATGGTAACGGTACAGCGTTTCCATGGTAACGGTACAGAGTTACTATGGTAACATATTTTAATGAGTACTAACCTCTCCCTTGATGAGTTCAGCGAAAATACAGCCACTAGCCCACACATCAACCTTTTCATCGTAAGGCATCCCGAGAATAACCTGCGTGCACAAAAAACTGCTAAAATACGTGCTACACTGAATAAAAGTAGCGCACTCTGCGCACCAAACAATTAGCGCACTCTGCGCACTAAACCACAGCACTTACCACAACTGTGCGCCAAACACAGCAAATAGCACCCCTCACTCAATACAGGAACACAGACAGGACACTCCTCCACGTTAGAATGCAGTGGGTTTAATGAAGTGCTATGTTACTACTAGGGTAGGTGTTCAGTGTTTATTCTGGCTGAGCTGTCTGTGCTACTGTATACACATGCTCACAAACAGCTAGCTGTGTACACTTAGTATACACTGAGTGTACACTTAGTATACACTGAGTGTACACTTAGTGTACATCTAGTGTACATCTAGTGTTTGTGTGTACACTGCTTGTAACTACTCGTACCCGCCCTGTGTAAAGCTGATAAAGGATGCACCCACACGCCCACACGTCCACCTTCTGGTCATACGGCATCCCCAATATCACCTAGTAACATGGTGTTGCTATGGTAACAGTATCACCTAGTAACATGGTGTTGCTATGGTAACAGTATCACCTAGTAACATGGTGTTGCTATGGTAACAGTATCACCTAAGCTAGTAACATGGTGTTGCTATGGTAACAGTATCACCTAGTAAGGCATCATGTAGCCTCCAGGCTCGACAAACCCCGACAAACCCCGACATATCCCGACAAACCCCGACAAACGGGGTTTGTCGGGGTTTGTCGAGGGGTTTTGCCTCGGGCCCACCGGCTACATGAGGCCTTCTTGTATAGTGTTTTTCCACGTAAAGCTTGATGACTCCGTCTCGGCTTTTTGTTGGGAGACTCAAAAAAAAAAAAAAAAAAAAAAAAAAAAAAAAAAAAGCCTCCAGGCTCGACAAACCGGAAACCCCGTCAAACCCCGTCAAACCCTGACAAATCCCGACAAACCCCGACGTGCCAAGATATGTCGTATCATGTCGGGCCCACCGGCTACATGATGCCTCTAGTAACATGGTGTTGCTATGGTAACAGTGTCAACCATTAGGTTAACATCACTAGGTTATAGTTTATACTGTAGTTCAGGCTGGGTTGAATATTGTGTTATTAACAACTTAACAAGTATTTACCCTTAAAAAAACTGAATAACGTAACCCACTTTTTAGGATTATAGTGCATGTATATGTACATGTATATTAAACTAGTTGGCTCGATTAGAGTGTGGTAGCTATTTAATATGATTGCAACTGAAAAATCGTACGGGGTTGATTTCCTTTTAGGAACTGTCCCTTTTAGAGCCTGTCTAGCTAATATTGCCAACTTACTTGATTAAAGTATGAGGTAACTAAAATGAGTGAGTGGAAGCGGTATTTCCCGTTTATTATACATGTGTGGCGGGTGCTTTATTAACTACACGTCAACATGTGTTCAACTACACGTTAACATGTGTTCAACTAGATGGATCAACTACTTGTTCAGCATGGTTGCTTAACATAACTACCCCGCTACAAGGTAGTAACCCTGTAAAAACTGAAAAAAGCCCAGCCAGCCGCCATGAAAGTAGTAACCAGCCTGGTAACCAAGTAAGTACTCTGATTATGTCATGGGTAGAAAAACCTTAACTTGGTAACCTTGTTGCCTGCACAAGGGCAATTCTAACTGCATATGCACATATTATTTTGTGAACGAACTGAATCCTATCTGCACAAAGTTATATCATGTTGTCTGCACACTTTTCTCAAAGCATGGATTATGTAACGTTTCTCCTCCGCAGTACTTTTGCTCCGCAGTATATCATGACCAAGACTCCTTTAAAACAGACACAATACATTTTTAGCAACATTACGCCACACAATTAACGGCTCCATCCACCTTTCCCAAATATTCATGTTATTTACTGTAATACCGCTGTAATAAAATATGATATTTTAATTAAATTGCGCTCATTATCGGTTAATATTGTTGGCACGTGGATTGTTCTAGAAGGTTTTAAGTATTGAAGATGTGGCGATAATGACTGCAGTACTACGTAATGTGCAGCTTAAAAACACTGTGTTTTATGTATAATAGTGTGGGAAAATGTGGGGGAATTGCAAGCTGGCAACATTTAGATACATACATTTCCACTCTGTCATATGTTACATAGGAATTAGTATACTCTAATGGTTAAGAATTGTCTAGAATCGATAAATTTAAAACGTTGCACGATGCCAAGGTCAAATATTTAAATTCAGTTCGAAGAATTCCAACTTTAAAAAAAGTGACACTTCCATTTAGATTTTATTCAACAACTTAACATTTTAATCTAATTTGGTTATAGAGGGCAAAGTACGTTCTGCTCACTTCAGGGACAAAAGGAAATCGCGGTTTTTCCCATTATTTGCGACAAATTTTATGTATAGTTTAATGTATGGTCTGTTAAAAATCGCGGTATCGCGTTTTTTGGCCAAAATAATCGCGAAATCCTTTTGTCCCTGGCTCACTTAGATTACAAAGATTACAATAAGTTCGCCAAACTGCACTATAAATAGTAACAATGCATAACGTAACTCATTCCCTCTCCCATAATAAAGCTATTATAGTAACAATACATAACGTAACTCATTCTCCCATGATACAGCTATTATAGAACAATGTATAGTGCATACTATCTAATAACAAATACCTCACTCTCTCCTTTTCCCTCTGTATACTGATTACTGTACGCACTAGACAAACCATTGTTCATGGTAACCTCACTGTTCAGCTCAGCATTACTCATCCCCCGGTTTGAAAATAGCATTAAAGATTACGTAACCTTCACTAGCTAGGTATTCACTACTTTTATTTATTTTACAACCTGCTATCTCTCTCTCTCTCTCTCTCTCTCTCTCTCTCTCTCTCCAAATATAATGATTCCGTGTATCGTTATAATTTTATATATAATATATCGCTTTGAGCTTTTGAAAGGCAGAGACTACTTCTAAAGTTTCAACCAAATGAATTACTCAAAAATGTTAACTAACTCTAAAGTTAGTGGTGATAAATATTTGGTATTTTGTTGCCAGCCAAAGGACTTATCTCCAGACATCTTGATTTACAATTATATACATTTTTTATTCTAACGACTGTTACAATCTAAAAATAGTTATTGCGTCGCTTACTGCGTATAATTTTAAGCTTCGATTATAAGTTTTCTTGGATGATACATTCATTTCAAGTTACGCGGAAGGTTTCAAAGCTTTTGATTGGCTCGTTAGCAACCATTTGATTGAAATACTCCTGTCGCAGGATTCCTGTATACAGTTTTTAAAGTATTTAACACTCTCGCCTCATTATCATTTTCTCTCGCTCACATGAAATATCACATAACATTCTATAATATGATATTTTATACGTCATTAAAGTACTTTCCAGAACAAATACCGGAGGGAAATTCAAACAAGAGCCTAAATTTGTACAGTATACTTATCTGAACTTAATTTATCTTTAGAACTTCTATTTGAATTACAAATGAGTTGAATAAGTAATTATTTCATTAAGTAATTAACATAACTATCATGTAATGAAAATAATAGCAGAATCATACCTCAGGAGCCCGGTAATATCTGGTGACCACGTAGGGAGTCATCATGAAGTTGCCAACATTCCTAGCCAGCCCAAAGTCCAGTATCTTGAGAGAACAGTCCTCCTTAACAACTATGTTGCTGGGTTTCAAGTCTCTGTGAATGATACCTGCTGAGTGCATGTACCTTATAGCACACAGGACCTGGAAATGGGGGGAGTTAGTTACCATAGCAACACCATGTTACTAGGTGATAGTGTTACCATAGTTAGTGGGGATGGAGTAAGAATTAAGTCGGGATTCTTGGTTGCTTTAAAGTTTGACAGTCGAGTAATTGGTCAGGACTAGTTTTTTTTTGCAATATACAATTGTATATTTTAAATTTTAAAGTTTATTCTTAACAAGGAGGGGAGACGTTCCACAAAAGTCGTTACTTCTATAATCAAACCTCCAGAGAAGCCAAGAACGAAGAAGAAGAAAAAAGAAGAAGAAAAGAACACGATATATTGAATATATATAATATATAATACTAGAAAGCCCGTGGTAACAGGGACGAAGCTAGTAGTATTCTTTGAAAGAACGTTTTAATCGCATCAAAAAATATCCATCTCGATCGAAGATACAGCCGATTTAAATATAAAACACTTTAAACACAACGTAATTACCACAAAACCGATCAAAATGACGTTAAAACAATCTTTGCACGTGCATGTGTGCATTAAAACACCGTTGCTATGGAACCTTTTGGTTGTTACCTAAATTCCTATTTCTCGTATAATTTGCACGTGGGCGGTCGTACAGACATACAGACAGAAATAATTCTCTGAATTATAGTAGAGATATTATATATTGCAGCATTGTCTTATCTACTTTTAATGAAACACCAACTATTTTTATCCCCCGCCGGATCCCCAAAAGCAAGGCCAAGCATTGTATTCAGTTCACATATTATATTAATATCATACTTAAATGATATTTACATTATCATGATTATGATGAGGAGATGATGTTATCAATAACATTAACCGTAAGCTAAGAACCATGAAGAGGTGTGTTTTATTCTTTTACCTACTCAGGTATTGTGATAACAGGGTCTCTTTTTGCAATGTTTTGAAAATAACACCTAATGTATGTAATAATTGTACTAGATAATCTGCACTGTGATATTTGATACCAAGTCCTAGCCTCAGTAACGTGCCTCATGACGGTACCATCACTCGTGCACTCCGCGTCAGTGTCATGAAATAGATGTACCATTTTATAAAATGTCCGCTTAATATATGATTTCTTTAAGTGTGACGTATTATAATATTATATTATGATGGGTAAAATTTTATGAAATTTGTGTTTAAAGCCAGCCGTATTAAGTGTAATATTATAGGTATGACGTTTTAAAGAAATCTATGACTGTACATCAGATAATTTTCTTGCAACACTAAAAGGTATGAAGCTAAATCGTGAACGTCATGTAACGCTGAAAAACTGGTTTCATAAAATAGCTTGGTCGCAAAGTATAACATTTTAAAAGAAGCTCTGATTAAACTTATTAATTTTTCATCTTTAAGTATTTTGATTAATACACTTGACAGAGAGAGCTGCACACGCCGAGTTAAGTTAAAGAATATATAATTATAACATAGAGCATACTGCAGTTAAAACAGTAGCGTGGTATGAAGTATACACGATTATAACACCTGTACAGTGTACACAATACCACACAGCACGTAACAAGACATAATATTATTTCTATTTACGATACGTGTACATAATACTGTACATAATGTGGGTTTCCAGCATAAAAAGAAGCCCTGTTGGGCTATAACAACGTTGTACGACAACGTCCAGATTTTATAGTATATCTCTGAAATATACTGCTTCTGGAGGGTGTGGAAAGAGGGTACACCCTTTAGAGCTAGCTCTGTGTAAATATACTGTCATATCCTCATAATATTACCACTTCATAATGGGTACTCAGAAAAGTACCCTTTTAATACGTACTCAACAGTGCAGTGCCACGCCCTTTTAAAACGTACTCAGCATAGTGCCACGCCCTTTTACCTAGTACATATTATATTCTGTTGAGCGTTATAATACAGGAGTCAGATAGTTTCAATATGTTATATTTCAGACTACTATAACATACTGACAGGGTATATTATGTAAGTGTCATGTTGAGGCGGGATTATAGTACACTGTACGGACACTCCGTAATACTAGTGTTCTGAAACACCATGTGTACATTGGACACGTCACACGTGTAATTTGTGTTGGGCACGCCTCACTGTACCATTTACCATCTTTAATGGAGAATGAACCGGACACGGAGTTATTTCCGGAAGAGGAAGTTACAGGTTACCTAGGTTACCTGTATAGTTACAGGTGGTGAGAGGACATGGGCGGGAGCAGGATGGAGATAAGATATTTTATTGAGTTTGGTTTTACGGTTATTCTTTGGGTTTCAGCTGTGAAGTGTTCACAGCTAAAGTGCAGTGGTGTGATGACGTCACGTGGTGTGATGACGTCACGTGGTGTGATGACGTCACATGGCGGATTAGAGTTGCTCAGATAAAGTGCAGTGCTCAAAAGGGGTGAAGTATTTTTGTGGTTTATCCGTCCATTAAATTCTTTATGCTGATTAATTTTTCAGTTGGCCAACCGCCCACAAATATCTTAGATTTCATTTGCCTGAGGGTAATAAGAATGCCGGGAAGCAAGGAAACAAAAGTAGTAACTTTCCGTGCACGTGTTTAACAAGGAACCGAGTGTCTTATAATCGTATGACTTGTCTTTTTAGTAACATTCAGAACATTCTTCCAATAAATTTTGGAATAAGTTAGCATTCGAATACGATATAGACAAAAAGGTGGACTATTATTGAGACTGGCTATTATATTAGAAGATATGTAAAGAATTTAACCCAATCAATCAGATTTCAAATAACGATTCAGGAATAATTATGTAATCACTTATTATGTAATTATGTGATTAATTACCTGATAGAGAAGATAGCTGACTCGTTCGTGGTCTAATTGAGTGTTAACAACTCTACATAGATTAGCGTCCATTAGGTCCATTACCACATACATATCTTTAAATCCGTCCAGTGACTCAGAAGGAGTGAATAAGTTAAGAAGGGAGATTATATTTCTGTGTTTAAGAAGCTGCATTAACTTTATCTCTCGAAATGCTCGCTTCGCGTGTATCTGAGTCTGAAGGGGGGTAAAAAGTTGGTAAAATCAGTTTTAGATCATATATCGTAGCAAAATGGTATGTCAGATTGTCAGTTTTTGAACTTTGGGTAAAACCATTCCAAACAAACCATAAAATAATTATTAATTAGGAGTAAAGTTGTGTAACACATTACCTGAAAAGGTTTCATAAACTTTTTGATGGCGACTTTAACACCGAACTGGGTATCTAACGCAGAACAAACTATACCCTGACGGATAATTGTAAGTTAATTGATTTATAATTAAAGGTTGAGGGGGCCGGGGGGGGGTCTTCATCAAAATTTTCTCGAAATTGATTTTATAGTTGTTCCTGATAGAGGGGAGTGACATCTATCAGCTGCTTTTGGTCCCATGGAAAAATATTGTTCCTAGCCGAAAATATCGCTGGTCAAAGGTCAGCGCTCATGTGTAATTGTATTGCGCGAGCGATTTTCAATCGCGCATCCTGAAAATCGAGTCTAAAAATCTATCTTCTCCTACATTTTTTGAGCAATCACCCTGAAACTTTCAGGATATGTTCTAGGGATCATTTAGGAGAGAAGTATCGAGCCGAATTTTGAGATAGGCCTCAGAAAATTTATAATTCGATTTTGAAAATCTTGGACCTCATTTTTTGACGATTTTTCCAGGTCCAGGATTTTCAAAATCGAATTAAAAATTTTCTGGAGCCTATCTCAAAATTCGGCTCGATACTTCTCTTCTAGAACATATCCTGAAAGTTTCAGGGTGATTGCTCAAAAAATGTAGGAGAAGATAGATTTTTAGACTCGATTTTCAGGACGCGCGATTGAAAATCGCTCGTGCAATACAATTACACATGAGCGCTGACCTTTGACCAGCGATAATTTCGGCTAGGAACAATATTTTTCCATAAGACCAAAAGCAGCTGATAGATATCACTCCCCTCTATCAGAAACAACTATAAAATCAATTTCGAGAGAATTTTGATGAAGACCCCCCCCCGGCCCCCTTAATTGTATATTTAATGGTTAATCGTTTCAAAATTGTTGACATTTTAATGAGCGATAATAAAACGTTTCTCGATTGATAATTATAGGAAGTTAAATGTTTGATAACGGAACATTATTTTCCCACAAAAATACAAATTCAGGAAAAAAGCGCCAGTAGAAATTTATAACCACGAACCTGAGCCCCTCTCCCAATCATCTTTAGTTCTGAATATCTCTTAGGTACTGTAAAGTCAGTATCTGCGCGCGGCACCGTCGTCGTGTAAAACGTCGTGTCTGACATGGTTGCTAAGATACAAGGTGATGGTTAGCCTTACATTTAAATAAATAACTTTGTTAATTTAAAACTAATATAAGACAATCAAATTAATTAAATTAACCATCACTGATACCAGCCTAGTAGGGGATAACGTTTTATCAAAGAGAACTTGTGACAAAGTACTCAGGAACACATGGGTAGAAAAACATTAACCTTTTAACCTTATAATTGCCTGCACAAGAGCGATTATATCTACTAGTACACTTTTCAACGAAATGTTTGTGAAGATAACAATAAGGATCATATCTGCACAAAATGTTATGTTGCCTGCACATTAAACCATGCATTAGCATTTACCAACATTTCTCAAAACTAACCAGACCCAAAGTAACGCATTTGTAACAATTCACAGTACCGACAAATACCAAAACCGACAGTACAACTACACACACTACACTGTAAACCTGTTGTTCCATCACAAAACACAGTGTACAGTTAATTTAAATAATATAAACGTTACATGAATATTACGGGATGCAGTAACACAGAAACACCTTATATGGTAATGTAACCATAGTAACACTACCTAATATGGTAAAAAACACACAAACCCGTGGCACTCCCAATTAACTACTAATTGCTTGCTAATTAGCGCCAGGAAGCTTGCAGACATTCCGCAGAATGTACTGCTTGACATCATTACTAATTCAGAGAGAACTTTTTGAGTTTTGTGTGAGTTCCAGGTTGAGGTTACAGCTGTTCTATACTAGTGACTAGCCTATAAGTATAAACGTTACGTGCGTAGAATTGACATTAAAATTAAAGTGATATTTTATAGTATAGGATAAAAATAGTATTCACAGTTATAGGGTGACGTATAACATTAATGTTAGACAGTTACAGCGACTGCCAAACCTAGTTTCAGTTAAATGATTTTGTCGTATTATTATCGTCGGGTTGATACAGTGATACACCCCTGTTTAAAGTTCCAATAGTTATACCGCTTTGTAAGGAAGAGAATGAGTTTACGTGTGGGATGACAGATCGCCCAGTTAGCTGAGAAAGGGACAATTTGCGTGTGGTTGTGACACTGATATTATACAAGTCCCATATTATTATAAAACCATTCAATAAATCAGATGCCAAGGATAACTTATAAACATTATGATACTTGTTTAACGGGAACTGTTAGGGTACACAGACGTAACTCTAACTACAAGGCAGTGCAATACATACCGCACAATACCGCACAATACCGCACCGCACAATACCGCACAATACCGCATAATACCGCACAATACCGCACAATACCGCACAATACCGCACAATACCGCACAATACCGCACAATACCGCACACCCTTGCAGTTTTGTGACTGACAACCAGGATTACAGACAAGAATACAAGTACACGTTCTTCAAGGAATTCTAAGTAACACCTGTATGTAAAATGGAGAACTGGTTACAATACAGCTGCTAATAACTGATAAATGCTGGAAGAATATCGTACTTTCCTGTTATCCACTGAGCTACTTTTAAAGCTGCAACATACTACCCCGCAATTATACTGGCTACCAATTAAACAACATAATATATAGAAAGTAACTACAACAGATATAGAAAGTAACTACAGTTTATCTTCCTGTGTGACTTAGCAGAGCCGCAATTACAGTTCAAGCTGTGTATATACGTGCATAGAGTGTGCACTAATTGCAGGCTTTACGTGCATGGTGTGTGCACTAATTGCAGGCATACGTGCATGGTGTGTGCACTAATTGCAGGCATTACGTGATGTGACATATTAACGGCTATATCCGCTACACTCTTCTGCTAACTGTACTATTTAGTGTACAATTTACATTGCTTTTTAGCGATAATGTATTGATACGCAGAACGGTCGTATATACAACCAATAATGAGGTAACTTTGTAACTGTAACATTTGTTAAATGTAAAGATTTAAAGGTAAGTCATGAGTTAAAAAGAGAGAGAGAGGAATAGAAGCAACACAATATTATTATATAATAATATATAATTTATTATATAATATTATACATATAATACTGGTATATAATAATATGGTGCTATTTCCTTTATCTGCACTGCAGTGCTCACTGCTCAACTTGATGTAAAGGAGAAAATTATAGAACAACTAATGAAACAAAGTTCAAATGACAAGTTCTACTTCAAGTTTCATACTATAGAAATTAAACTAAAGCAAACGTCAGGTATATAATTATACTTGTATATTATATTATACAGTATACTGGTATATTATATTATACTGGTATAATATATAATACTGGTATAATATATTATAATACTGGTACATCAAACCTCTGGAAGATATCCAAGTATCCACTCTAAGGATCATGTCATTAGTTTTGATACAACTATACAGCAAACTTGCGTACAGTGTACACTGTACAGGATACGGATGATAGTATGTGATATATTATATAGTTAGTATACATTAGAAAACAAGTTATATATAAAACCTATACAAGTGTTATATCCTACACCTTCTATAAGACTTTGAGGGTATACAGTAAGACAAACACTCACTAAAGCTTACATTTTTTGTGAACAAATAAAACTGATACTATGAAATATGAATCCTATCTGCATATTATTTTATTTGCACACTAAGCGTTCCTCAAGGCATGACCTTCAGTATACAGCATTATAGGCCAACATAGCATTAAAGGAAAATACAAATACGGTCACTAAACCTCATCATAACTTTAAACTTTACCCTTTTAACTTTTTAAGTTCAGTTTATTAGTTAACACGTGTATCTTACAAAACAAACACTTTTTATACCTCGAGGCTAGACAGCAACACAAACACTGAAACATTATAATCTTTACCCTGTTTACGTTTCGAATTATAATATTAACACTTTAAAGTATCTACACAAAACTAAAGAACGACGTGAACTAAAGGTTTACTGAAGGGCACATGCTTGTATGCAGTGTGTAAACACTGCACACTACCGTGTCTAGTGTAACAACTGTCTGTGTGTAGACAATTCATCATAGCTAGACACACAGCTAGTGTAAATAGTATATTCTATAACAAAGATATAGCCAGTATTAACCAGTCACCATGCTGTGTGTTATCTTCAAATGAGCGAGACAGGAGAAAGACAGGAGAAAGACAGGAGAAAGAAAGAGGAGGTAAAAAAGATAAAATAACAAACAGAACGAATCTGTTGAAACGGGAGGAGTTTCTGACCCGTATCTAGATATATAACAATGTGATCTGCAGGCCAAGTACGTGACTGTAAAACGTCATTGTTATCGTTAACGTAGTTCTTGTTGCCAACTACTGTCAATACAGCAGTGATTGTCTCAACATTGCATTATACAGAACTGCAATAAATATACAGTTAGTTATTATATTATTATGCTATGTAGTGACCATGGAATCATTATATATATTATCACTATTATGTAATAATGATTCCATTATATACACATGTAATAGTACTATGATTGAGTTAAAGTTCTGATGTTAAAGTTATCATGTGATTTTCTTGGATGAAAATCATATGTTTGAAATTCTGCTTGATAAAAATCAGTAATAAACAAGAGGCTTTAATTATAAATTTCTATATTTCAATAACAGTGTAACGATCTGAAGGTAAATAAGTAAGAGTGCTTGATAGTTGATTCTATTTAAATTAATTAATTTGATAATCCCTTTATAATAAGTTTGTAAACCAACTAAGTTTACTTTATAACATAATACGTTCCAGAATGGTACCGGTGTAAGAAAACGGTGAAATAGAACAGGAGAACTAAACTTATAATTAATAAGCTAAACATTTTATTTTTAAGTCCTACATCCCTACCCCAGCACACACATTTGTGCTGGAAAATCCTGGCAATGATCCAAACTAATGTTTTCACCGTTTTCAGACACTGGCACGTCTATCTCGCAACTACTACGCAGAGGCATCATTAATGGGCGCGGACACTTTCTCCATTTTCAAACTTTATTTTTCAATAAAAATCAGAAACGTTGCCGCGAGTTAATGGTGCCTCTAAAGCAAGTGGAGGCGAATCTGTTTACAATAATACAAAATAACAAATATACAATAAAAACGAGTATTTTGAGATACTTCTCAGCTATTTTATTTCCATATTCTATGAAATGTAATCAGTTCCATAGTAAATACGCCAGGGTAATCTATTCTAACGAAATTATGCTGAGATTACAATTCTAGATAAATCTATTAATAATTGTTCAATCGGTTGGTACTCGATCAGTCAAACTTCGATTTACCGTGCCTCTGTTAACAAATCGACCGTATTTACTTAATTTGATATTTATTTATCTTATTCTTTGTGCGTGTAAATGCGAATAGTTTCTAAATATAAAGTGTTTCTGTCCCCAGGAGCCTGGTAAATCGAGGTTTTAGTGAGTCATGTAATGGTCGGAAAGTATGATAATTGTGTAAATAATACTATTACCCATAGTCTTCTAGAAATAATACCTTTCTTACAAATTTGTTTAACTAGATCACTTTTCTGATCCCCTACCATTTGTTATCAATACAGTCAATATAATATGTAGAGGCATAATGCTTAACACGTGACAGCGATTCTGGGATTTTAAATGGCCCATATAATTGGAACTAGGAAGCTGATTGGTTAATTGCTATCACGTGCCAAAAACACATCTCAGAGCAGCAGAGTACACTGCTACTCACCTGGTTACAATCGTTCCTTTTTTAACCTATTTACATTTTACATGCACCACTCCAACTTAGTCGTCACGATTAAACCAGAACAAGGTTGTTAAATACGTCAAATTTTCGTGAAATAATACGACGTATTCGGTTCTAATAAAGAATACGTCGTAATACGCCGTAATACGGTAATTTCTATGGATTGTTAAATACGTCCACGAATACGCCATAATACGCTGATTTGTCAAAATTAAACATTACAGCTGCGCGCCACCCTCATCATTGATCATGCATTAAAGGAGTGCAGTTATACATGATAACTTAAATTTGTAATCAAATTTCATGGATAATCCGATAAGCAAACAATTTTTGCGCGCACGACACACCTTTTCGTAATACGTCAATTTTCGAGGATTAATATGTATTCGTATTCCAATACGTATTCCCTCCTAATACGTATTTAACAACCTTGAACCAGAATAATCTATTTGATATCACATGATGATGACATCAGGTAGGTGATACTGTTCCTCCCTGATCTCCCATCTCCAGTATGTTAGGACTGTAGTGTCACTCCCAGTAGATATGTTACTCTAAAGTAGTTACTATAGTTACTATAGTTACTATACTAGTTACTATAGTTACTATACTAGTAACTATAGTTACTATTATAGTAACTATAGTTACTATACTAGTAACTATAGTTACTATAATAGTAACTGTAACAGTTACTGTCTCCCTCACTCATTTAAAGAAAAAGTCCTGCTGTGGGACCTGTTCCTCCTCCTGTGCCGGAACATCATGGCACGTCGTGTCGGATCCTCGCGTTGTACCCAGTGACCGTATATGGTGAACGCTATGTCGTCCATCACTGCCCGCACTTCTTTTATATGGTAAGGCGTAGCGTTGTGCTCCTGTGGACGGGAACAGTAAACCAGTGGGATAAACTCATAGCTCAAAGTTTTGTCTCATAGATGATAGAAGGCTCTGAAGGCAACCTGAACCATTGCAATTGGCGTGACAATAATCATAATATTTGCTTACTTGATAATTGTACTACATCTAGATAAGATAAGAAGTTCTTAGAACATACCCTGATAAGTTGCAGCTGGTTGCCATCATTAGAGCTGATAAGAGTGGCTCTAGCTCTGGACCTGATGGTCACTACAAAGAGAGCCAGATACACCACCTGTCTGAACTTTCTCTTTCCGGTCGTGTGTCTCTTTACATCCCTGAAACTAAGTTTAGTGCGAGTTTAGGTTTAGTTTAGTCTAAGAACACAGACCATTCACTATTTTTTTCCAACAGTAATGCTGTGAAGTCATTGTATCACGATTGAGATGGTCGGGTAACGTTTTAGTGTTTACTCTAGGTCCTGCATCCACAGAACTACATACATACAGTAAGTTAACATTTTAAATAAGTAGAGATTAAAGTATTAACTTAAGATTAAGTTTGCAGCTGGAAGAGAAAATAACTCTAAAACTTACTCATCGTGTTTAATCCAGGGGTGTTGAAGAGCCTGTTCTGCAGTGATTCTCTTCTTCACATCAACCTGTAGTAACCCACCAATAAGGCCCCTGACTGAGTCTGAGAGTCTGAGCCAGGTGTCACTTTTACGGTCGTACCGGCACTCTTGTATCTGCCTCATCAGGGATAACTGTGGAGAGGGGTCAGGAGAAGGGTTAGTGAGGGGTCAGAGAGGGGTTAGTGAGGGGTTAGTGAGGGGTCTCAGCAAGAAAGAGGTTGGGGGAATTTGAATTAAATAAGTTACGGACTTAAAATAAAAATCAAAAGAACGGTATCAAAGAATAAGAGAAAAGCAGAAATATAATTATATAATGCAGCTCAATATAATGCAGCTCAATATAATGCAGCTCAATATAATGCAGCTCAATAAAACGCTGAACTTACTTTAATAGGATGATGGAAAGGAGGCTGGCCCATAAGAAGAGTGTACAACAACACCCCACATGCCCACATGTCCACCTCTTTACCATACCCCGCTAAGTTAGACCCCAACTCTGAGCGGATCATCTCCGGTGAAATATAACTCAGGGTCCCACACAGGTCGTGCAAAGCTTCACCTGGTTCTAACCTCTTAGCAAAACCAAAGTCAGTCAGCTTTATACCCAACTTCTCGTTCATCAGGACATTCTCCATCTTTATGTCACGGTGAACTATGTCGTGGAAGTGAAGGTGGTGTAGACCTGTGAGTTATAAAGGTTTGGGGGAGGTTTGCTTGCATAACACATGTTAATATGGTTTCTACTTGCTTAACAGTCTTCATGTTACCTAATTATGTGTCTTATTAAGCACCTGACAAGCATTCTACTTTGAAAGTACAGGTTCTGACCCTCAAGCTATCTTTTTATTGCTTGAAAAGTTGTTATTTGAGCTCATTAATCATTATCATAGAAAGAAAAAAATGAGAAGTAAAGGAGTAAAGGAGTAAAGAAGTAAAGGAGTAAAGGAGTAAAGAAGTGAAGAAGTGAAGGAGTAAAGGAGTAAAGGAGTAAAGGAGTAGAGGAGTAAAAAGTAAAGGAGTGAAGGAGTAAAGGAGTAAAGGAGTGAAGGAGTAAAGGAGTAAAGGAGTGAAGGAGTAAAGAAGTAAAGGAGTGAAGGAGTAAAGAAGTAAAGGAGTGAAGGAGTAAAGAAGTAAAGGAGTGAAGGAGTAAAGAAGTGAAGGAGTAAAGAAGTAAAGGAGTGAAGGAGTAAAGGAGTAGAGGAGTAAAAAGTAAAGGAGTGAAGGAGTAAAGGAGTAAAGGAGTGAAGGAGTAAAGGAGTAAAGGAGTGAAGGAGTAAAGAAGTAAAGGAGTGAAGGAGTAAAGAAGTAAAGGAGTGAAGGAGTAAAGAAGTAAAGGAGTGAAGGAGTAAAGAAGTGAAGGAGTAAAGAAGTAAAGGAGTGAAGGAGTAAAGAAGTAAAGGAGTGAAGGGGTAAAGAAGTAAAGGAGTGAACTAGTGAAGGAGTAAAGGAGTAAAGAAGTAAAGGAGTGAAGGAGTAAAGAAGTGAAGGAGTAAAGAAGTAAAGGAGTGAAGGAGTAAAGAAGTAAAGGAGTGAAGGGGTAAAGAAGTAAAGGAGTGAACTAGTGAAGGAGTAAAGGAGTAAAGGAGCACCTACCTAGAAGTAGCTGCCTGAAAAGGTTTGCAGCAACTTTCTCCGAGAGTACAGCAAACTGGTTAACATAGTCGAACAGTTCTCCATTAGGTGCAAGCTCCAGCACGATGTACACATTTGCATTTGTACTGTACACCTAGGGAACTGTGCTCAATAAATTGAAATGTAATTGTAATTGAACTGTAAAATAATCGTAATTGAAATGTAATTGAAATTAACTGGAAGAATTTTGATGAAAACTTAGCATAGTGCACAACATTTCAACATGTATATTGTACTGCACAGTACATTACATTGTCTTATTGCAAATGCAGTGCTGACAGATTAGTGCACAGGGACCAGCGTCAGTTACCTTGATAAAAAGATAAACAAAGACAAATTTTATACAGCAATTTATCGATACATATATATTTGTGTCAGTTATATATAAGAAACTATGGAAAATGCTGTAAAGGATGCAGCAGATATAAGACTGTTACAGTTACCTTGATGAGAGCGGTGACATTAGGATGCTGGGGTAACCTGGATAAAGCACTAACTTCACTCACAATCGAGTCTTCAACGTCCAGGTCACAACTCTGGAATAATATTTATTAGTTTTAAAATAACATTTGTTATTGAGATACCAACTACAGTCATTTTTTGTCCTAGATAAACTGTAGCATGGGAAACAACAAATTTATAATAGTTGTTAAACAAATAAACCAGATTTATTATGAAATATGTCTGCAAATGGATTAAATCTATAATAGAATGATTTAAAACTTCCATCAAATAATACAGAAATATAGAAGATGGAAACTTGAATAAAATCAAATGGCGACGAATAATGTTTGTCAAGTAAGCATAATGTGATTTTACTGTATAATTGGGGAAACCAGTATCAGAAGAGAAAAAGAGAAGAGAAGAGAAGAGCAGAGCAGAGCAGAGCAGAGAAGAGAAGAGAAGAGAAGAGAAGAGAAGAGAAGAGAAGAGAAGAGAAGAGAAGAGAAGAGAAGAGAAGAGAAGAGAAGAGAAGAGAAGAGAAGAGAAGAGAAGAGAAGAGAAGAGAAGAGAAGAGAAGAGAAGAGAAGAGAAGAGAAGAGAAGAGAAGAGAAGAGAAGAGAAGAGAAGAGAAGAGAAGAGAAGAGAAGAGAAGAGAAGAGAAGAGAAGAGAAGAGAAGAGAAGAGAAGAGAAGAGAAGAGAAGAGAAGAGAAGAGAAGAGAAGAGAAGAGAAGAGAAGAGAAGAGAAGAGAAGAGAAGAGAAGAGAAAAGAAGAGAAGAGAAATAGCAATACCTGATAACATGGTAACAATACCTGATTGAGGTCTATAATTTTCACAGCATACTTCTCGTCAGTAAATCTGTCCACACATTTACATACAATGCTTGTTAGCCCCCTCCCTAACTCTTCTTTAACCTGCAGAACAAATGTTGTGTTTCAAGTCTAATTGGTTTAATATAACGTTTCGAATATCGATGAAATTATTAGTATATAATTAAACTAAAGTATGACCCATGGTAACCATGGTAGCTTAGTTACAACACACGATACGTCTTGTTATCGTCAGATTTATGATAACACTTGAAGATGATAATAAATACATATTAAACGGAGAGTATTTTCACCTCATATTGAGCGTGAAATGAGTCGATATCGTGTTCATCTCGTGTGTCGAACAAAACTTTTCCTGATAGAGATTTGAGTTTTTCTGCTAATCCCGACTTTATCATGAACCATCCCTCTAAAACCTATAGCTATCATCATCAATATGGTAGTTTAAAGACCTTATCTGTAACTCTGTAATTTAAAGTTCATAATATATTTATAGAATGGTCTTAATTTTAAACTCAATAGCCCAAAGTAAAATCTTGGAACTAAAACAAAATGAAGAAGGGAATGTAGATCTGAATAATGCAAAGTTTCGAAATAAACGGGCGAATATTTCTGTTACCTTTAAATTTTCAGTTCAAGATTTAGCTGCTATTTTACTATTAATCAATGACTCAATCAATAGGACAAGTAATTACATTATCAAGGATATCATTACTCATCAAAATTTTAGTTGATCCTTCTAAAACATTGTAATTACACGGTAAGAGAAATACCTTTAGGCGTAAAACACGAATATGTTGTTATAAAAGCAGGATTATATAAATAACCTTCTTCACTATAATGTTAGAAATTAACAAGCATTCATATTTTACATGATATATTTTGTTAAATATTCACAACCCAATCTTGACTCTCCTTTTAACTTTAGCCTTTTTCTTAACTCCAAGACTAATTTGAGTTCCTTCTCCAGGGAGGTAGATAGTTCCAACTGGCTTATGATATGGTATTGTTATAGTGCTACCATCAGCATAAACCAACATAGTTGGATAAGTCCTTGGATTAGAGCCAAATCTGATTGTTCGATCTACTTGATGAGACCTTATGTCAATGGGAGTGGAATCAACAACTGGAAGAACTTGAGGGAAACGGGGTCGACTCTTCCGCTTTACTTGAATCCTTCCTCCATAGAATGGCCAATCTTCAGGGCCAGTCTCCTTCACCTCTTCAAAGTCTTTAGCTTGAGGATGTTGGACTGTGACAACATCGTTTGGAAAATGTCTGCTGTGAATTTGACGGACTGCAGTGTATATTCCAGATTGAAAAAGTCTGCAGTTTCCCCTTCCTAACATACCTGGGTTGTAATTAACTTTGTTATTCTTAGTGTTTTCAAACTGGAGAACTGAACTGGGAGAGGGTGGGGGTGATAGTATAACAAAGATTTAATAAAATAAAGATGTTCACGATTTTTCTATTTTTTTTTCAGATCATCTAACAAACCAGGTACCCGAGGGTACCCCGAGGCCGAAGGAATGCAACCTATGCCTCACAGATAAACTCTTCTTTCTTATAAATTACCACAAGAACCCATTAACTTTAAGAGGGGGGTTTAATGAGTATAATCCAAATTGTCAACTTTCACCATCTTACACCATTTTTTCGATGAGTACATTTACCTTCTAGTTTTAGTTTTACGTGATGTTATAATTCTAGTACAATATTTGATTATCAACTCAGATTTTGAGGATATAAAAACAATTAAACATGTGTTTTTTGTATTTAAAGAAAGTATAGGTTTTACAATTTGGAAACTCAATTCACTATAAATCATTTTCAATTGTCGACATTTTGGCACACAATTGTGTTAATTTTGTAGTAGTTGTACAGCAATACTAAGGTAATGGGACTACTGCGGACCCTCTAACGGACAAACCTTGTTAACAAAGCCGCAATCACCATATTACCTTCACACAGTACAGACATCGAATGCTGTAAGAAGATGACGATCAGACCTCGTTAATAGTGTTAATGGGCCACAGATATTCAAACAATATACACATAATATAGCAATGACCCTATATAAAAATTCTGTAAAAATGGTACAAATTTAAAAACTGAGGTAAAAATAAAACCCTTTGTAATAATATATATAAAATCCACTAAATCACATCACAACAAAAAGCAGTTTAGACCCCCATCCAACAAGCACTCCATGACCTTTTAGGGTTTAGGAGTGTTGATCAGGTTAAGGTCCAAATCACTTATTGCCGTGGGTGGAAGGGTTCTGGTACCTCTGTACCCCCTGATAGAGATTATACAGGTTCTGAGTAGATCAAAACGCAGTCTGCGTCTGACAAATGACATCACATCACAATATCGTTGGCCTTTCTTTAGGCTGATCTTTTCAGCGAGATGTTTTAGGAACTGTGAAGCCTCTGTTGCCATTCCTCCTGTAGTACTGAACACCAGTGGCGTGAAGGTAGCCTTTTCAACATTTAGGACTCTGTCATTGTACTCACGTTTTTTGCTTTTCTCGTGAGATTGGTACATCTGTGAGATGCTCTTGTCACTGTTGGACTGGGCTTGAGGGTGAAGTACCCTTACATCTGTGAATGCCCTGTCCAGCGGCGACCAAAACGATCTCGCACTGATGTCCAGTCTTGCACCATCCTGTCTATTTGTTCCATTAGATAGTTCAAGTGTGGGTGGAACGGAGAGAAGCTGGGGTTCTGTTTCAACGTCTTTGCAAACAGTGGTTAGGAGTTCAGCTATTGTATCTCTTAGTGAATTGTGTCTAAGTGAAACGTAGCCTCCGATTTTGCAGGTTAGGGTATGGTTGATATGATTTTGATTTCCACATACACATAGGGGACTTCTGTTAGCTGTAGACAGTGTAAGATTATATCTGAGTGAGAGGGCATCAAAGAATTCTTGTTTGTTAAGGACGTACCCACATGCTTTTAGCGGGAGTGTGGATAACCAAATGGATGCTCCTTTTTCACTAAGGAGTTCTAATTGCCTTTGTGTTGATGGGGATACCTCATTCATAATAGTTTCACGTTGGTGTTTGTAAAGCTCTTCCTTACGCTTCTTTACTTCACTTATGATTTCATGCTGCAGTTCTTCGTTTAGATGGAAAGTAGTAAGCTGTTGAAAAACTGCTTCTGTGAGCTGTTTTGTAGCATTTACTGAGTTAGTGTACTCCATCTCTGCTGTTGATGTGCAGTCTGGAATGCTCAGCCCACCCATTCTTGCAGGAAGTGAAGCTATTTTTCTGATTTGATCAGGCACAAAACTTTTGCCCATAATGGCTGGTATAAAGTCTTCCTTGACACAATATTCCAAAAATAGTGTTAATTGTAATACAATTTTAAAATATTAACACAATTTTTGTTTCAATGAAATTGTTGTTTAACTGGACTGAATTAATGCATTTAATCGTGAAAATAAAGCCTGTTTATCTTATTCAGTCAGCATGAATGGTGATACCGAATAAAATTAAGTTTTATAGTATAAATCCAGATAGACAGATCAATGATAAAGGGTCTTGTGAATTCACTGGTGAGTTTACAAAGATTTTGTTTGTAAAGAATTGAAACTTTCAGAATCACTAATGGGTGACTGAAAACTTAACGGGTGATACTCGTAAAATATCTGTTCCATATACCGTCGACGAGTCCAACTCGGCGCGCGTCCTGGTAGGTTGTAAACCTACAACATAAATGCAATTTCAGTTCATTGTTCTATGGCAGTAGCGTCAGAGAAGAACATATGTACAAAAATAGGGTATGATACCCTGGAGAAGGGTGGCAGTGCAGTGGAATCTGCTACCTCAGTCCTACTTTGTCTAGGAGCAGTGCAGCCTCAGTCTAAATGATATCGGGGGAGGGTACTTTATGATCATCCTTACCTGGTGACCTCAGGCTATTATGTTCATAATAGAGATTCGGCGCCCAGCAAACCCTACCAGCCGGGGAATATCTCCAAAAGTAAAATAGATAGAACCTTCCGGTTTTCAACAAAATGTCCGTCTCGTAAATTTAAAGGAGGCTCCCCAGAAGCACAATTTGGGACAACTTAGATTCTGAATTAAACCGAAAAGTTTGATTTTTGGCTAAATAAAAGGTCACCGCTTTTAAACTTTGCAAAGTCATGTCGTTGTCATGACTACTAAACTAAATGCAGCGTGCGAAAGATTAACTCGATGTGACGCGCGACGCCAAACGTGCTGTTGAAAATCTATCACCTCTAGCAAGCCCAGCAGGCGGTAAGGTTTTCTGGGCGGAATGACAGCCTGAGCTCGGCCCAGTAAGATCATTCATATTAAGAACCAGAAAAAAGTTATTAATTTTCCGGGTAGTGGCACCGGTTGATTCACGATGTCAATCCGTCGCATCTCGCCAATCTGCATACGTGTAGTTGCGAGAAGAATTATTTGATGCGCGGCGCGACCCAGTAGTGCATCGCGCTACAATGGCACCAAAAGTCGCTCCTACTAAATCGCTCGCCCAAAAAAATTCTTGTGATTAGGCCCTTTGGGTATGAAATTGATATGAATCGGTGTATTTTTGGACGCTGATTCCGAATCAACCCCCATGACGTAGGGTAAAAATGCTTTCCTGGAGAGTTATGGGCAAAAAATAAAAGATATGATGGCAAGAATCATGTTTTTCAAAAATCCTTACTATCCAGAAAGTTATTTGAAAAAAGGTGAGATTTACCGAAAAACCTTGTATCACGTCGTGACCCCCCCACTGTCGTTTCACTATGGTGAGCCGCGCACTCGTGCGCGGCGGGTCATACAACGTATGACAAGAAAAACCTAATCAAACTTTCCTTTGCCACACAAAGATTAAAAATGAACCCAAATGATATCGTTTTGTATGCATATGTTGTTTGAATGACCTTTTCTTTTAAAATAACTGGCATAACTGCCCCCCCCCCCCCAATTCCGCTCTTGACCATTGTTAATGGACTGGCCCGGCGCGCGCTACTTCGTAGCACTTACCATAAGTGCCATAACATTTCGAAAAGAAAGCGGCGCGCACTACTTCGAAGAAATTTAAACGAGTAAAATCCGTCAATTCAGCTTTTACTAAATCACTCGCCCAAATTTTAAGAAAATTCTTGTGAAAAGGCCCTTTGGGCATAAAAGTGATCTTAATCGGTGTATTTTTGGACGCTGATTCCGAATCACCACCCATGACGTAGTTGTATCACGTGGTGACCCCCACTGTCGCTTCACTATAGTGAAGCGACCCCCTGTATCAGTGTATCGTCTTTGACGATACAGGGGGAGCCGCGCACTTCGTGCGCGGCGGGTCATACAACGTATGACAATGACGTAGGGTAAAAATTCCTCCTTGGATATTGGAGAGTTATTGGCAAGAACCGTTTTGGTCACGTGACAGGCTAGCGCTAGTAAAATACGAATTTGATTGTAAAGGGCTTGGGTTAAAGTTAGGGTTTTGGTTTCACCTAACCATGTGCTTTCGCGCCACTTCGGGCGCGCTTGTTTCACAAGTCAAGAAAACCGCCGTGATGCGGGCGCGCGCTACTGCAAGCGCAAGGGCTCTGGATAGAGCAAGGTTTTGGTAAGGGTTATAGTTAGCTTCGGGGTTATGGTTAGGGTAGGTAGTGAGCCCGGAGCCGCGCGTACCGTGCCGACTGTAGGATGGTTTTTTAGCGCTAATATCGGCCAGCACAATTTTCTTCAAACAAATAAATATTAAGTATCCTTCCCGACCTCCGATTGCAACAAAAATTGGTAAGCTTACTCATAAACTTACAAGGAAAGTGTCCGAAAAATATAATGCATATCCAACCATCAAACATTATGTTACAGTTAAAAGCAACGTATTTTGCTTCATTTTGATCATTATGTCAACTCCGATATGCACCAAATTTTTCGGACAGTTGTGATAGCCTCAACGGGTGATACTCGTAAAATATTTGTTCCATATATTATATTTAGGACCGTCGACGAGTCCAACTCGGCGCGCGTCCTGGTAGGTTGTAAACCTACAATGAAAGACCTATTGGAAGGTTTGATTGACGGTGTCAACCCATCGAGATCGTTGCTCTGCGAAGCAGAGCAACGATCGACGATGGGTTGACTTTGATGCGAAGCAAGAATGCTAGTTTGCGCGGCGCGTCGAAGCGGCGAAGTCCTCCAATTGGAAGGTCCAATATATGGAATTTTTGTTTAACTGAGTTAAAAGATGATTTAGTAGACACCAAGCAAACAGGGAACGTCACGAAATTGTATGTTGTAATTTTTGGCAAATGCAAGTTCTGAAGTTAAAACGCCTTACAAGAAATTTATATGTCCTGCGGAGTAAATTTGATTATTGCATCTAAAGTGCCCGGCTTAGTGTTACAAAATTAAACAGTTTGGAACAAAACTACAGGTTTTCAGTTCACACAAATATTAAAACATTTAAATTTTTATTTGCATGAAGGTTACAATGACTTAATAAAGTCGTTAATTAAATAATAAAAACAATACAAAGATACCATACCAAGTAAATTCACAAAACTTGCAACTTGGTTAAAAACAATGAATTTAACTGTTTTTGTTGCGCGCGCGCCAGCTCACTCAATTAATCCCATATTTGGTCAAATAGGATAATAGGGACGCAAAATATGCGTCCCTCCAAAAAGTCCGATTTCTTTCATTGTATGCCCCTTTTTCCGCCTTTTTCCGCGAAAAGTGGCATGCAACGTATTCGTCATACGTTGTATGACATGCCGCGCACGAAGTGCGCGGCTCCCCCTGTATCGTCAGGACGATAAAGTGAAACGACCGTGGGGGTCGCAACGTGATACAACAACGTATGTAAAGCACGTATTGGTTGCGTTGTCATGGCAAACAAAATCGCGCGCGACAAATGTGCTGAAATCCCTGAAATGCACGCGGGTCATATTTATTTCCACGCTAGTTAATTCGTTGTATATGCTATCAAAGAAGCTACGACAGTTATCTACCACT